CTCAAGTGTCCTCAGTAGTCGGAAGACGTGAAATAAGTTTAATGATGCACTTTGATCATTGCGATTAAGATTCGTTATTCTACGTTTCATGTGCTACAAAAATAAGTATTGATTAGACTAAGTATTATTACAAAGTCTGAAATATAAACACAACTGTATATTTTTAAATGTTATGATTGTATTTCTCTCGTAATCGCCTAATAATAGCATGAAAGTTACTGTAACCCTACATATTGTTCTTTAGCATTACTCCATTTCTATTGAAGAATCTCAATCACAACATTTAGACAAAACTTACAATCAGGCTGGTTATCTTTGGAGACTTTGACAGTGATAGTGATGTAGGTTACTATTTTATATTTTATGCATTGTTCCAATTATGATGTTGAACCCATCACCGTTCTTATTGAACATGCCAGTATGGTATTGTATGTCATTGGTTTATCGATACTGCGATTGAAGTTAACCTACTTAGCTGAGGACAAACATAAGACAGCATATGCACTTTTTGGTAAACTCCTGTCATTGCATCCATTATGTTCTAACCGTAAATCTACTATAGTCAGCTGATATACCACGAGCAACAGCTGATTTCTGCCACTGTTTGGGCGTCTTCCGTTTCCGCAATTATCGAGTGCGATCAGCTGGAAACGCCGGATATTGTAGCCTTCGTTTGACATCCTACAGCCAGCGTTGTATATAATATGTATGTAGAATATCGATTGGAAGGCAATGTTGAGCGTGCGTTTCTCCAAATAATAAGTTGTTCAGAGCTTTGGTTAAGTAAACATTTCATCACTATTTACTCCCGGAACTGTCTTAACTCCGGAGGTAAACTCAAAGTAATGTAAAAATTCGTGTGTTCAATGTAAAGTAGTGTTCCGAAACTCTGTTATAGAATATGACAACTATCGTGAAACAAATGTTTGTCAATATGTTAATACTAGTTAATGTAATAGCTGGATCTTAAGGCAGATATATCCCAATCCAAAACAAGAGACACGACCTAGTTACTTAAATTCACTCTTAACAGCGCTGAAATAATTTTTTAGTCATGTTTGTTGATTTCCTGTCCCATAAAAATCTAGCGCATAAAATCATGTTCAATAACTAACATTTTTATTTCTGTAATACTGTCACTACAGTTTGAATGGTGTATGTAGGGTAAAAACATAATTCGCGTTATTTTGTGATTGAATTGCTCAATTAAATTACCTGCGCCCTTGCAACAATTGATTGGATTAGACTTTTTCACCTAGGACACGCTCGAATAACTACGATTATGAACTGTTTACTATCACCCTATCTGGGGCGAAGGTCAAGGTGGCTTAGCTGAAGTGCGTGCAAAGTTATTTTTGGACTGATCCCACCCCCTACAACTGACCTGGCCCACCACTGGGGGGTTGTGTCGCGGTGGGGTGCCTGGGGACTTTTGCAGCCCCCTCCCCCCCCTAGAACTCGGTGTTGTTACTTGGGACCCCTGGATTCTTTTGTTTACAATGTCAGTGTGAAAACCACCAGCCGCCAGCCGCACGGGCTAAAAAGCCAAGTCCGGGAATGGACCCGAATGAAATAAAATTGTATTCTTGTGAATTTGTAAAACATTAATGAATTAGTAGACATGTTGTATTTGTATGCATCCGTTTTGAGCTCTACTCAAAGTTTTAAATTTTTAACATTTAGCAAATAGTGTATAATGATTGTAAATTAGTGTTATGAAAAATTATAGTGAAATCAAATACATTAGAGAATATCCTAAACATTAAATCATAAATGAAGATTGCTAAATGTACATCAACGTACTAGTAGGGATTGTTTACAAAGTTTTAAGCATTTTATAAAACATACATTACTAAGCATTCTTCGATATTTTTCTAATATATTTGGTTTATACTATTAAAATGATTAAAATTTTACATGGATTGATAAAACTATTCGTTTCCTGCGAGTAATGGTCATTATTTTTACATTCACTACATTCTTTGGTCATCAAGTATGTATTATATCTTCTGTTTTATCTACCATTCTTTAATTTTAGAATAGATGATTTTATCAACGTTCGATTATCAAACTTTAAATTCCTTTAACATATTTTTGGAGTTTTCCTATAATGCCTTCTAATTAGTCAGATAGTGAGTTGGGTTGAAAAACCCATTGTTACAAATATTGAAGGGAGGAACTACCAGATAAATTTTAGAACGAAGGCATTTACTTCTGCTTTTGGTCAATGATAACGTAATAGTTAAAACAAAGATTAAAGAGAGTAGACAACATTTTAGTCCATCTCACATCTTAAATCGATTAAACATATTCTATGAGTACACCTTCGTGTATAAATGCTGCGTAATACTTTAAATCAAGCAATTTGTTGATTAAAATTAACGCTTCAATAACAAATGTACTTATTTTAGTATGCTACATGGGAATGTTAAAAACTTCCCTTAGAGGAAAATAAATTTAAAATGATTTTTTTTGACATTTCTTACAATTATTTAAACCCCTTATTATACATGTATGGGCTGTTATACGGTGTTTTAAATGTCCCTGATCTAAACCCTGAATTCGAACATCTAACGACCATTCAATGAGTGAGCAGGCTAATGATTTAAAAAGATACACTACTCGGTAATACGTGCCACTGGCAGATGTACATTTTGTTTTAACTTACTGAAAAAAAACTATGCTCAGGACTTAAAATCGTACTCAGAATGTCAGGTCGTCAAGGGGTTGACAATAATCCAAGGCACATCGCAATTATTGTCAACTCCCTGACGACTGCCACTGTGTGTGCGTTGTTCAACGTGCCAACGTGCTGCATACAGGTTGCACGTAACTACACACCCATTTTCGTTTAGAAATATGAATGTATTAGCGAATTTCCCATACAGGGAACATACTATCACCGAAGGTCTCATGGCAAGATCTGGACCCAGGACCGATTTGATTTTTCGTTTTGAGGTCCTCATAGGCCAAAAACCCCAACAGTTCAAATTCATAAGGTTTTTATGCGTCTGATAACACTATAAAACGAGCGTAGACTTAGACGATGATTTTCGAGCCAGTATGCTGTATCTTTTTATCAAATTTGATTAATTGAAAATAAACGAGTTCGCGAACCAACTATTATTTATGGGGGGACTAGAAACATAAAATTTTGCAATTTCTTTCCAGACGGGTTTTTTAGATATTAAAAAACCAATAAATTTAGTAACCAATATTGTAAATATTCAATATTTAGTAAACCAATATTGAAGCGTTGTCATACGCTTAATGGTTAAGGAGAAATAAAAAAAAAACTGTTGATTTAAAATTCTTGTCATGTTATTCTTATAGAAAATAAGTTTACTGTTGTAACTAGCTTGTTCATGTACATATTATGATAAAATTTTGAAGTTTTATTTATTTAATTTCATTTTATACTTTAAGCATTTTTGAGCGGAGCGATTAAAGCTCTTTTATACTACAACACTCCTGCTTTATTTGTTTTATAAATACTCCTCCTACAGGTGAAGCGATCCGCACGAAATTTAGCTTAACCAGCTGGGATGGTATAAATCTGAAATGGTACAAATTGGACTACAGTGCTTTCCTTTGCGTCGATTTAATCTTTCACTTGAGTTACAAATCAATTGTTGTGTATCTGTTGGTTCGAAACTGGAACTGACTGTCCTTGTTCATCCATCTATATTATTAAAATAATTTGTTGGATTTTTGAATGCAGCAAATCTACCACTAAATATTTGTTTTATAGGTATGGGTATTAATTTAAATCTCTTATCCTCTATATGTTCATTTTGTGGGTTATTTGGACCCCGTGAAAGCCCTTCGTCCCTTCGGCTTGTAAAATGTCATAGTTTGTGCTGAGTTCTGTTGTCAATCATCTGAACTTTTCAAGTTTACATTTGTTTACATCAAAACAGATGGCATGGTACAATCTTTGACTATTAATCTGTATCCAATAGTCAATGGTACTGGTACAATTTTGCTTATATCCAGACGAAAACAGGGTTATCGTTACACGGTTACAGTAGTAAATTCAAGCTTCAAGTAAATGTTGTAATGTTATTTGTTTAAAATCTAAAGAAGAAAATGACACACGAAGTGACGCTGGCTGCTAGTTGGGCTAAATCAACCTGACTTTAAAAATGAAACAGCTGATTTTCGGTAACAAGCTACATAGCTACAAGAGGTATCAGATGTTTTATCTTCGATCTTAACTGTACTCCCTACCCATATTTGAGTTAAAATCCGGAAAGTGCCTTCCCTATCTCAATTACTTAATATAAAAAAATACTACCGTACACATTATTAAATAGGGGAGTTAAACATGATTTTATTACTCTTACTCTTACCAAATTACCTACAGTAAAATTTTACTGTATAGGCCTACCACAATCACATGTTTTATTAATCCTTAAGGACACGATAAAACGGTGTAAATGATACAGTATGCTAATCCAATCAAATGTACTGTTTTTATTAGATCAATTATCTTTGCCGCATCATTTCCTATTCAATCGGAATAGAGTGTGTTGAGCACGATTCTGGCCCAGGGTTGGTAAACAAACTGCTTAGTTCAATTAGGTGTTGCTTTGATAAATTATTCAGGATGAAAACAAGACCTAAGCATTGTTGACGATCAAGGGACTGGAAGGAGTCAGTTCACGAGTTCAGTTCGGCCTGGGCCAAAATAACACCGCCCGCCCCCCGTGCGTAGGGGGGAGGGCGAGCACAGGGCGAACCAGCCTGTATGAACTCAACGCCACGTTCCGATCAATATACCAGGCTCCCTCAAGGTAATAAAATATTTCTTTAGCGATTTTGCCTATATACAATATAAGTATGGGTTTTAAAATAATTCTATGCAGATTTTGGAGTTAATAACATCGATTTCTCTTTTCCTCTCTCACTATTTGAGCGTTTTTACGATTATAAACAGGCGGCTCGTTTGGAAAGCGGGGAGTAGGAGCAGTGACGGGAACAGCCGAGCAGACAAGTCGCGGATAGGACGATGTCCTATGAGACGGGACAACTCCGATTTGGCTTCTACGTTCAGCCATCAAGAGTTGTAAGTGATAATTTCCTGTTTTCGTCGGAGGTGTTCAATATGTAATATTTTGTGCCATATCTATAGTGTTTTCTCCACAATTAGTTCTCAGCGAAGTGCAATTCTTTCTTGTGTTCGTGAACTGGTAATTCTGGCTGTGTTTGTTATTGTAGGTGAAATTCGTAGTGTAGGCAGTAGCCTAAATTTACTATGTGCGTTTCAGTTTCGCAATCTTTCTAAAAAAATGCTGTGACTTTGTTGTATGAAACTCTCCAACATAAACTTATCTTCTCGGCGGATGAGGTATTTACGATTGCAGCGTTTCGTTTTCTGCTATATTGTGGTGTTTTGTTGCCCGACATTGCCCCCTCCCCCCACCTCACCATTACCTACGCCTCAAGGAATATTTTTGTATTTCATTACTTTTCTGTAGATTGTTGCTTATAAAATTATGGGTTGCTATTTTTATGTTGTGTTCATCATTGATATCTATTGGATCAAATTTTCTTTGATTAGGCCTAAGTTAAGTTTTCCTAGCGATCGTAAATAGGTCTAATTTAGTTTCTTTCCCTTATTCTGACTCCCGTAGTGCGAGGCCAAACCGTGTTGGATTGGATGGAACATTGGAACAGTCCATTAGATTTCATCAACGCATAGGCTATTTTAGTTGGTATATTTTATTCTTTCATAGTCCCTTTCAACTTACGTCGCATTTTGTAATTTATTTTTAGTTAAATTTTATATTAATTCAGGCCTAATTAACTTAGTTGTGTCATCATGCCTGTTACAGTAATTAACTTAACTTGTATTTCTTAGTTGCATGGAAATCAACTAGGGTTTAAATTAAGGTACGGTAACTTAGGCTACCTAAATTTTTTTTTAGGATTTTAGACCTATTATAATTTATACGTTTACTTAACAAATTTAAGAAATTAAGGTACATCACCTCATTGTAAGCTTTAAAGCAGTTCATGCATAAGTTTAGCCTATTTCAGTTTTAGGATAGGCCTATAACTTAAGTTAACTTATAAGTTAGTTAAGATCGGAGAAGAGAAAGTATAACTTAACTTAAGTTAAACGCCAAAGCGCACTGTAAAAGAGTGGCAGGCGACTCTTACTTAGCCTACTTACTTACTCCTTCTTCATCTTTTACCCAAAAAAGGGATAGATTGCGTCTCGATAAAAAAAATAGAACAAGTTTTGGGCCATTCCTTGTCAAGTCTTTCAGGGGTTGTCACCCACTCCACCAGTCACAGATTTTTATGAAAATTAGTAGGCCTACACATAGGCCTAGTAGTTGCATTTAGCTAAAATTTCAGTTTGTTCTGTCAAACGGTTCCAGAGATAACTGTAATGGCTATTCAAAGTTTGGAGCTTTAGTTTCTGAGACGTCCTAACATAAATAACATAGCCCATTAACATCTAGCCTATATCATCTTTCATATATTCTCGTCTTTCATCCTCACACCTTAATTTTTTTAGCATGCTCTGGTTTCATTTAGTAGTTCCCCTAACCAATGGTATCCAGTTCTATCATTGGATTGATATATTATCACAGTTTATCAAATTATCACTTCCCCTAATGATTCAACAATTGTTTTTGTGCGTACAGTCATTTAGTCTCTAGGCCTATACACACCAAACAAAAGAGAGCTATTCATCTAATGATGAAACTGCAAAGAAAACAATCAGCTAAGAGATATTTTAAGGAATTACAAATCCTAACGGTGTATAGTCTGTATAAGTTATATGAAGCATCTGTCCATGCAAAACAAATTCAATTGTCATCCACTTCAAACAATACCGGTGACTATAACACTAGGTTTAAAATTAACCTACCCTGACATAAATTGGAATTTTTCAAAAAGAAAACTTATTATTCAGGTTTAATTTTTTTGCAACACCTGCTGGCTTATATAAAGACGGAAGACAATTTGAATAAATTTAAAAGAACACTAAAAGACTTTTTAATTAAATTTCCAATTTATTCCATAGAAGAATTTTTTTAAATAAAAATTAGTAGCTTACATAATTTGAACTCCATAGCAAAATTAGGGGAACAATTTAAATTTTCACAATGATTAGTAGTAGGTAATACTTTTTCTTTTCTGTGTATATTTTTACCTAAGCCCGGAAATTGGGTATATGCTTTTTTATTTTATTTTAATAACTGCTAATGTTATTGTGATTGCCATAGTGTTATATTTTTAATATATTCAATTAGAAATTCTTCACTTATCTTAATAGTATATTTTAAGCACTTTGTAATATGTAGATATATGTATTTATAGCCTATTTGACTCTATTCAATACATGTTATTTTATGTATAATGAATAAAGAATGATTTGATTTGATTTGATATCTCAGAACTCTTGCTCGAGAATTGTCCATATACAGTAGGCCTACATTAAATTTGTGGTCAGTCCTAGTCTACGTTATGTTACTGGATTTACACCAGGTGTTCCTTTGAAACCAATTAGGCCTACTTTAGTTAAGTACACATCAAGCCAAGGCCAGTCCCTATCTTAAATGTTGTTTTTTTTTAAGCATGTTTAGGCTTGCATTGCTGGGAAGTGGGACTGCGAGGGTAAAGACGATTTTAAACAAAACCCTTGCACTAGGAAACAGATGTACAAAACAAATAAATGTTTAATAAACAGTAAGGTTATTCTTTGCCAGTACTGACTACTACATCAGTAAATATCACTACTTTGAAAATTAAATCAATTAAATAATTATATATTATACTGTATTTTAGCTGTAAAAAGCTTTAAAAACTACGCCCGCTATGTTCTGCAAGCACATGAAATATTTATAGCACAGGTTTTTCATATTAAACTGTTTAAATTAGGCCTATGCGATATTTTAAACAAACTACGCTTTACTATTGTCAGATAATATTACCCACATTATCTTGCGGCATCCAGACCAAGTACAATAACGCCAGCGCTGTAGAGATATTGTTCTTAAACTTTACAACTTTGTTGGTTTTAGGCCATGATGACTTATAAATAATTTATTTGTTACAGATAACGGTTTCTATGCATCACCTGCCAAAGAAGTATTGAAATCCAATGTTTCCAAACGAATCTAGTTCAGACGAGTTCACTTCTAAAACTAATGCCTTTGTACAAAAAATTAAGGTAGGCCAAATGATATTAGGTTTTCCTGAAATAGCTTGTCATAGTTTAAGTAGCCTAGTATTAATGTTGCACTTAATAAGTACAGTAAAGTGCATTAAAAAAGGCCAACTCAGCATCAAGCCTGACTTAAATGTGGTTAGAAATTTAGGTCTAGGAAATAATAACAACTACCAATACCGGTAGGCCTACATACTATATTGTAGAAACAAATTTAAAAACTATTAAAGTGTACCGTAGTTTGAACTTGAACTGTGTGCTGTTAGTGTGGTAGACCTGTCTGATCACTGGCCAAGCATTTTCTCTCTGGGTTGGAGAGTGCACTGTTGATTGAGTATTTAAACCCCATTCAGGCTACTGATCAGATAGGCCTATAGTGTACAACTCGTTCAGAGCTTAAGTTACATGTCTGTGACAGAAATTGGTTAGAGAGGCCCATCTGAAATAAACGGTGGACTACTAAAGTCGAAGTTGACGGGACGAATACATTCTTTTGTGTGGTACAAGACAAAAACAAGATGTTTTGCTACTTTATTACTGTTTGTGTATGCACAGGTGTCCATTAAAAACTTGTCTTCAAATTAAAAATAAAATGTTAAAGGAGCTTGAATCAATAAAAAATCCACAGGTTTAAAGGGTTGAGGCTTGAATAACCTTCCCTGTCCAGAGATGTCCAAGAACAATGTTCTGCATTAGATAAGTTAAATCACTGATTCTAAATTAATTTGTACTATACTGTAGTGTAATAAAAATTACTGAGGGTATCTGCATAAAAAAAAACCTCCACTAAAACTTTATTTGAAATTTTATCTTAAATAACTTTAACTTTTGCAGGAGGTGCAGCATAACAATCCTACCGACCAAGTGCCTGAATTGAGGGTAAGAACTAATTTTAAAATTCAATTGAGGTTTTAACTTTCAACAATTATAATATTAAACTTACTTTTGTGTAGGTCTCTATCTTAAATTTTTGTGGACATTGCGGTTGATGATTTTTGATCCTTGAAAGATGGGTAGTGTTTTGATGGATTTTAAAGTTGATATCTTGTCACAAGCTTAAGTCATTTTATTAATAAATTTAATCTGTAAAAAAACCAATAGTAAATATTTTAAAACCGATGTTTGTACGCTTGAAGAGCTTGCTACTCAATTTATAAAGCAATTTTGTTTACTCGATAATATAGGCCTAATAGCATTTCCACACTTTCCAGGACACAATCGACTGCAGAGCAGATAATGCAATGAAGACTGCACCGAAACCCATCTTCCCGACTTCGCCTAATGGTATGTTTACAGTATGTTACTTTAAAGAATGACTGCAATATCAGGAAATTTAATAATTAAACTGGTGTCGGTTGCCTAATCTTTTAACTAAATAGTTAATAAACATTTTTTTCCTTAAGAAATATTTTAAGCAATTTTAATATTTAATTCTCTTTTGATTGACAGTTGCATACACTATTTTTATGCTATAAAATCTAAGCATACACTTTTATATAGCTATACTCCAAGGTGAAATTCTCTCTGCAATTTTAGATAGTTATGCCCTGATTTATTCTTGCTGACAACCTCCATGTAATTTAATTTTATTAGGCTAGCCTAGTTTGTAATTATTGATTATATATCAGCAACTTCTAAACTTGATTTTCTGTATTTAATTGATAGGCTAACTCAGGGAGTGGGAAATCCATTAATAAGAGGCAGCAGCCAGTCTATGAATAAATTCATTAAACCATTTTTTTTTTTCAAAATTTGTTAGCCTATTTGTATTGACAGGTCAGCCAAATTTTTCATTTTATATAGGCCTAGAGGTTTGCTGCTGTAGTTCCCTTATTTCTTCCCAAATATATTGTTCAAACAATATTATCAGGAGTGTAGGCTATACCGGTACTTAGAACTTTCCTAAAAAAAAATTCACCCCCAATTTTTTGGCATTTATTCTTTATAAGCTATGACGTATTTAGATTTGGCACAATTTATAAAAAATCCCAGAAAATGAGTTGTTAAGTTGATTCAAATTAAAATTCCATCACTGAAACTTTCTTCATGTCACTATTCATTTTAGCAACGTTGAAGATGTGATATGGATCGTCTATTTCTCGGCAAACTTTTCTGGCTCACAATGAAACAAAGATAACCGATGCACATGTTAGTGAGATGATATAGTCTAATGCACAGATTTGTTGCTATTTAGCTGACAGTAGAGTAAGATTTTAGTGGTTAGAATTGGTTGTACTAATACTCTAATGATGTTTGTCACAGGCTGTGAGCCGCGTGGCGAGTGTCGGGCGGGGGGAGATGGGGGCGGAGCTGGCCCCCTCCTCACCCTTCCCTCTTTGTCTGTGATATCCAGCTCACCCCTACAGGAGCCTACCCCTCCGTCCGTTACACAGGTAAAATACCACACAATCTCTCTCAGATAACCTAAATAAGCTAAATCATGGATTCCCACTTGAATCATAGGTTTCAAAAGATTAGGGTCAGATGTTTAATTAGCTGTTCACACCATTCTATCAATAAGCACCTATGGTAGGCTATAGTATGATAAAGTTTTTTAGTTATATTTTTTAAGCTTACAGAGTGCTTTACTATGTGAGTTGATGGGGCTTTAATATTTTCAGTTTATTTGTAAAATTTATCCTTTCAGTAGTAAAGTACGTTATATATCAAATTCCAACCATCTCAGTTTTATTCTTTGGTCCTTGAATTACTTTACAATTGTAATATTTTGGGGGATTTACATTTTGATCAACAATAGACCTAATTGGTATTTGACTTCACGAATAATTAAGTATAGTATGGTTTAATACAGCAAAACCAATGTTTACTCTATAGTCTATACATGGATGGCTTAAACTGAGTGTTTAAACGGACCAAAGGAGTGTTAGTAGGTATTGATCAGCTATTTTGTTGTCCGGCTTGTTGGTCATACCTCTAGATATTAGGCTACCCTAAAGTAGCTGTGATGTATTGTTGTATAATCTCTTGTGTTGTTTGTTTGTTGCTGCAGAGCTCCGAATCAAGTGTTGTCGACCTGATCGACGGTGCTCTAGCTCTCCCCTGTAATGTTAAGGTTAGCTGTAAGTCTACACTGGGGAGTCTGACTCCCCATTACATTCCAGAACATTCGTACGCAGTGGCCTCTTACAAGGTAAGCACTGAGCAGACCATAAAACAGTATTAATACCTATATCTGGTTATGCACCGTGTAAACAAATGTTGGTTGACAGTATAATAAAAAGTGACACTTTTGTCACTGTAAGGATATTGCCAATGTAGTTAATCATCAAGTATACTTCTAAAATATTGTTTATTGACATAAATATTTCTGTTCTTTTTGGTTAAGTGTTAAAGAATTGTTGCCGTAACATTCCCTTTCTAGATAAATAGGGTAATTAAAAAAAATATCTGCTTTGTTTGCCTACTTTGCCATTGTCGCTGGATTCTGTAAAATAAGTTTGAATTTTTTTTGTGTTGGCCTATATAGCAATATTCTTCTTTCATATTTTTCACCTTGGCACAATATCACTTATTTGACAATGGAACAATAAAACTAGGTTAGTAGTTTAAATGTGTGTACCAAGTCGCAAGTATTTCTTCGTGCTGAATGATTTGTATTTATATTGCATCTAGTCTTTTCTAAACTCTTAGTCCTGTTGTCGACTCTAATGTTTGTTTTATCAGGCTCGGTGGGGCATCCCCCGGTCACTGCGGTTGGCTGGTGGCGGTGAAACAGCCACAGCCACACCCGGATGGAACAACAACAACACGAACAACGGAAACTCGGGCTTCAACAACGCGGCGACTGGTGGCAGCGGCCCAGCGCCTTACAACAACAACGGCAACAACACTAGTCCTCAGCAGAACTCAACCACTGGTGAGAGATGATAAATAATGTATGTTGATGGTTTTAGTATTAATACAGAATGTGGACAGTTTGTTCACATAAGATGTATGCTCGTTGTCTACTGGGTTGGACTGTGTCATTGAGCTGTGTTTGGCCAACGTTTCAGAGACATTGCAGTTGTCCAACATCAAAGTGCAGATATATTAGTGAAGGCATTGCACTAACTACTCCTTGATGGCAGCCTTTCTTTGTAACGTCAGCATTTAAACACAGCTTAACCACACATCCAACGTAGAAGATGAGCATGCATCTTGATTTTGGAATCTTTAAAACATTAACCAATACCCACCATTTTATAGCAAAAATGTTTAAAAACTAAAATTACAGATATAGTTGAAAAAACTTTTTTATTATATAAAAACAACTTTTTGTGCTACACTTTGTTTGGTGTAGGAAAAGATGATTCATCAGCCTGGTCATAATCTTTTTCAGTTTACATCTGATATTAGTGAATTAATTGGATACCTCTTACAGGTAACACAGGTTTAAAACAGCCAGCCAACACAACACCTTGCAGCCAGGCTGCACCCACATCACAACCAGCCACGTCCACGCAACAAACAACACCAGTCACATCAAACAGCCAGGCGCAACAACCAGCCACTTCTAGTAGCCAAGCACAGAACGGCAACGCAGGGGCTACATGGGCCCAGGCAGCTGGCAAGGTAAACCTACCTAATAACGCATTGCATTTAAAACACCTTTCATAATGTTTCCACCTATTACTGCTAGGTGCGCTGATTGCACACTGTTGCAAAAACAGAAATAGATATATGCCTCCTCAGTGAATATCCAACTGCGACAGCGTAGTGTTGTGCTGTCCATTGTTGCAATTTTCAAGTTGAAAATGTACGCTGCAATTAAAAATGCAGTTAGGTTTCTTGTGCGGTCTGTTATATGGTTTTTGTCAAAAAACTTAAAACCCACAGAAAACTACTGTTAGCCTATGTTTGTGAAGTTGATGAAAACAAAACATTGAATTAATTTACTTGACTATATTTACGTACACATTCAGTTTGCACAACATGTATTTCATGACAATATATTCATTCACTTAACACAATACTGCAAAAGAGATTTCCGCTGAACTTAATATTGCAAAGAATTACGCCCACACTTTGAACAATAATATCCTGTTATATAACTGTTTTGATCAATCCAAATGTCAGTAAATTCTGTAACGATGATGTGCTCAGTAAAGTGAATGTGATTGGTTTGTCAGGGTCTTCCACCCACGTCAGCGGCCGCAACCAACTCAGTAGCTCCTGCTTCTCAGTCCACCAAACAACAGCTGGAGCAACTCAACAACATGCGAGAGGCGCTGTTCAGTCAGGACGGCTGGGGCGCTGTGAGTATACATATTACAAACTGTTTCTGTTTCTACTACATTTGATTTTTTCAGAATATTGTAGAATAATAACCCCGTTTTAATTTTCAGTGAAATTCTTGCTCTTACTTTTTCTAATGACCGTCATCCCATTTTGGCTCTCCTTACTATTGTCCTCATTGTTCTCAAGTTGTTTCCCTTTATTTTGGCCTAATAGTTATATTAATTTATATTTAGTTAAGTTTATTTAGCTTATAAGTTTCAAGCTAAATTCAAGGTGAAGGAAGTTAACAAAATCAAAGATTTTAAATAAGAAAATACATATACAAAGTTCTAAATGTTTGGATTAACTTTTGTTGTGGTTTACTTTGGTGAGTTGCCTGTAAGTAACATTTGGCGATAACACTGTTTTTTGTTGTGTTGACAGCATGTAAATCAAGACAGCGGATGGGATATTCCCTCCAGTCCAGAACCGGGACAAAAGGACAGCACAGGAGCGCCTCTTCCACCAGTTTGGAAACCCAATGTCAACAACGGTAAGGGGCTTGTCAACGTTGAGATTAACTGTTATTGTTCTATATATTTAGTAATTTCTTTCATTTCAAATATTTTTTTATTTCTTAAACACCCTATTAGAGTGGGAAGATCACAAATACGATCTTAGGCTTTAAATTTAATACAGCTTTGATTTCATTGTAAGCATTTCACATTTGTTAAAAATGTTTTTGATTGCAGGAACGGACTTATGGGAACAGAACTTGAGGAATGGAGGTCAGCCACCACCTCGGGTGGAGAAGACTACGCCGTGGGGCTCTCACACTCCTGCCAGTAACATCGGCGGCACCTGGGGTGTGGATGACGACTGTCCAGACAACGGCAATATGTGGAACCCTCAGGCACAATGGCCAGGACCCAACCAGCCAATATGGCCTGGTGAGTCACATTGCAATATCCAGAAATATATTGTGTAAATATTTTGCAAGGCTTGGAGGTGAAAATGAATTTAAGTATAAGAATCTTAAAAACATTTTAGTTGATATAATCCTCATTATAAAGCGTAACTTGTACCGACAATTCAAAATTAACTATTGACTCTGTTTGCTAGGTGGTGCAAATGGTCCCAAAAAGGAAGGAGAGTGGGGGGCGGGGGCTGCTGCCGGTTCTAACTGGGGTGACCCCATGAGAGCGTCAATGGACCCCAGAGATCCCATGGCTAGGGACCCTCGTGGATCAATAGTGGACCAACGAGACCCCATGAGAGGAGTCATGGACCAGCACAGGTTAGTTACTCTGTCCTCTGTATAAAAAAAAGTTTACAGTTACAGATTGTTAAACATACTTATGTGCTTGTCTTGTATCAACATCTGTTTTATTTTATTGTAGGTATTGTTGTGGAAAGAGCAATATTCTTGTTGGATGAGATAGGTGATCAGTAAAGTTTTTGACATTGCAGAGGCATGGTGGGTGGTGACATGGTTATGAGAGGTGATCCAGCCATGCGAGGTATTAGCGGCAGACTGAACGGAGGGGCAACGGAAGGTATGTGGGGCCCTGGGCCTCATCACATGCCTCCTGCTAAGCCCTGGCCTGCGGGACCTCCACCTAGCAAGGATAAATCCAATGGCTGGGAAGAGCCGAGTCCACCACAGCAGCGACGAAATATTCCTGGCTACGATGATGGCACAAGTCTTTGGGGCAGTGGGCAACAGCGTGCAGCTGCTATGCAGGGTGAGTAAGAGTATACAATCTTCAAACAATTAGGCCCCATTTTTGTATGACCTTTACAAAAAGCAATCCAATTTTCATCCTGGCACCTCTTGTAAAAAATTGTTTTCCAGCTCTAGTAGTTGACAAGTCTATTGTAGTGATGTGTGATTGCATGCGAAATATAATTATCATATGATGCGAGTGCCCTAGCGCAATCTTGCTGCTACGCAATAAACAAATAACTCATATTTGTCTCATAAGATTGAGCTCTTCACTGTTTCCTTTGTTATAGAAGCAATTCACATTTCATACCGCTCATTTTTAAACTCTCTGTTTATAACTACTTTAGTACTTTTAATGGTAAAAATTCTTAGATGCGAATCACTAACTTAGAAGTTGTTAAATTATCAGAACAAGTTTAAGCTTGAAACAACAACACTGAGATGTAACTAAAGCATCATTTTGAACAAATTTGTTCTTTTTTAAAGAAGTTTTGGAAAGATCGCTATTTTCAAGCAATTTTTCGACCGCACATCACTAGTCTGGGGTGGTATTTGCATTTAATTATGCCTCGTGAAATAATTTTAAGAAACCAGTTATTGTGTCATAAAATCAAATGTGTGGTTTGCAGCGGCTGCTGGACAGAAGAACCCTGTATCCCACTGGAAGGAGCTTCCTCCCGCTGGCATGGGCAGAGGCATGCCCCCGGGAATGCCTCAGAACCGCATGCCTAATGACATAAAAGGAAACAACCCACTATGGCCCCATCCTGCAAGGTCAGTTTTATTGGTTTAGAATTAATTTAACTGTCAAAACCCCTAGTCTTATGGATGATTTAGTTTTTCAGAGAAGCAAACAATTCAACCAACCCTACCTTAAGCATCAAATTTCTTCATTCTTCAGCTTAGGGTACAATTAGTCATCTATTGAAAACAACACATATTAGTTTAATTTGTATCAACGTTCAGTCCCTTGGTACTCAAAAAAGTAACCACTCATGGCTTACGATCTTTAGGTTAAGTCAGGTAGCATATGTAGGCTATATGCCTTTAAATTCTGTGAGTATTGGCTGGTTGTTTAATTGATATTATACCCGACCTTGATTGAACCCAATCATTTCAGCATGGCAGTAAACTTGTTAGATGCTTCAAAATGTAAATACAGTATAGAACCTCTTTAATCCGAACTAATTGGGACCAGGGGTAGTTCGGTCTATTGAATAGTTCGGATTACAGAACATTTTGTTGTTTTTACATAACAATAGCTAAAACATGGCTAAAATTGATCAAAATTATTTTGGGAAAAGTGAAAAAATGTTTTATAAAGTAAAATACAGTGTTCATTTAACACAGTAGTAAACATGGTGAATAAACAGTACTGTAAATTAAATACAGTATACAATAAAGAATTGCTGTACTGTGTATAGAGTACAGCAATGAGGGGTTCGGATTAGTGGACGTTCTACTGTATTTACTCTTTACCAGCAAACTACGCCTCTAAAAGTATTTGGAATGATGAATTTCAAGCACATGCGCGTCATCTGAAGGCTTATATTCAGTTACTATTCAGTGTTCTACTGGATTTTAATTGTAGTGTTTGTCTGAATGATCATAAATGTGCTTCTGACCAGCAATAGGTACTTACAGATTAAAGTAACTTCAAAATTCTGTTGTACTGTAGGCCCTATTCAAAGTCCTTTTATATCTGCTGTACTGTAGGCCCTATTCAAAGTCCTTTTAATTAGGTACCAAAACTAGTCCTAGCCTCTGTTGTAAGTACGAGACATTCTAAAAGGAACTTAGTATAGTCTGAGTATGTTTAAATTCCTTCTTTTAGCAATAACTAACACGTTGCCAAATTCTTAAACTCAAATTAGGCAAATCAAATTATTTGGAATGATGAATTTCAAGCACATGCGCGTTTTTACAACTTAGGGGAAATTCCTTAAAAAATATTAAATATTCCCTTCAGGTTCTAACGAGTAATTAAAATAAAAACCTCTTTTATTCACTTACTAAAAGAAACTGTATTCTTAAGAATTTTTAACATCACCAACTACCTTTGTTTACAAATCAGAATGATAATTCAAACATATGAACATATGTTAGTTCCACACAGTACAGTAATTAATTAAACCAAAGTCTTTTAAATTGTGGGTATGAAACCAAAGTCTATTAAATTCAATTCGTAACACACTCCCCACCTTTGTAAATTGAAGAGTTCGACAACAATTTACAAACACTTAATTCATAAAATCAGTAAACTCACAATTCGTATAAAACCATTCGTAAGTTCATTCTTGTTATCACGGTCATGAGTCAAGGGACGGCTGTTCATAAGATAGTCACACAACACAGTGAGGCTCGTCCTAAGTTTTTCTTAAGAAGGTCCTTATCAACCGCTCCCAATATCCTCCCCACCATGGTGCAGCGGGAGCATTAAATTTCCACTTTATTCGTTGAATACTGCATTCCTCTTCAATTTTGATCCAATCTAAATCATTGAATGCGTTGTCAAGTCCAACAAAATTCATCCCATTATCTGATTGTATAATCTTCGGTCTTCCTCTTCTTGATATGAAGCGTCTGAGCGCTTGTATTAGGGCAGACGTACTCAGAGAAGTCAGGATCTCTAGGTGTACATTAATATTATTTGTCTCATCTTCGGGAACTTTCTCGATCGATTCAAGCTTAAGCCATGAATCAAACACAGAATCGTAATCATCGTACTTACCAATAAGTTTCAGTTTTTTGGTAGTTGAACAAAGTCTCTTTTCTCCAACATATTTATTGTCCTCTAGTACAGGCTGTCCTTCACTCCAAGGAAGTTTGACAACATATCTCCCAGAATCTTCTTGTTGGACAGTATTTTCAAAAAAACTCAGCTACTTGACTATCATTTTCACTCTGAAGTTTTTTCGTACCAGGGTCCTTAATTCCTAAAAGTTCAGGTTCCCAAAAGTGGGAGAGATTAACTTGATTTGTAAGAGTCAATAACATCGAAGAAGTCATTCTAGTTTCACTGTCTGATTCAGATTCACCAACTAGTGTCCATCCTAGTTTTGTTTTCACAGCAGCCAAATCATTACCTACTTTTACATACTCCGATGTAATCAATTTAGGCCAACTGTCAGCTCCAAGAAGCAACTGTATATCACTTACTTCTTCTGAGGATTCACAAAAGTCCGACAAAATAACACCTTTTGATTTGAGATTTTCATATATTCTGACGTCTGACACTTTAGGTATGAATCCGCAGATACAAGGTGTGTCCAAAACTTTGAAATCCTCATTAAAACCATCAGATGTGGATTGAAGTTTTACAGAATAAACTCCATGAGACCTTAAATTTGTTTTCTGTCCCCCAAACAACTCTTGACTCGTTACAGTTTTACCTATTCTCTTCAGTTTTAAATCAGTCACACAAGATTTCAAAATATAACTTTTTTGGCTTCCAGAGTCAATCAACGCACGAACTGTGTGTTCTTGGGTTCCCACGACGATTTTCACAAGAAGCGTGCTTAGGTAAACCACTGTTGATTTACTAGTACTCGACACTAATGCCTGACTTGTACTATCCTCAGAAATAGTTTTCTGTTCATCAGATTTTTCAGTTTCATTTAAGGAAAGGGTAGTTTTCTTTTGTAGATCTTCACACATAATCGGATAGTGTTTTCTTAAACAAGCTGCACACTTTACCATAGCTTTACAGGAATTACTCATGTGTCGACCTTTTAAACACTTGAAACAAGATCCTTTCTTCTTTAAAATATCTTTTCGCTCAAGAAGAGTCATATCCAAAGCTTTCACACAATCTTGAGATCTATGGTTTTTATCACAAAACACACAAGTCAATGAATAAGTACCTTCTGTTGTCGATACAAATGCCGCCGCCGAAGGCAGTTTCTCTAAAGGCTTCCGATTGTTTTGTTTCTCAAAACCTTTATTTTTTTTGATAGAAGATCCCCACAAATCTTCAGAGGAACTTGAAGGATGTTTTACATTGTGTTTGGTACTTGCAATTCCAAACCCTTCCAATGCCATAGATACTTTTTGTTCTCCCTCTACCTCGTTTTTAAGGAACGTCAACAGATTCTCCAGAACTTCTTTAGATGAACTTTCATGATTGTTATAGTTATGGTTCATTGTTCGCTGCCAAAGTTTGAGGACGTCTTCGGGCAGACTTGATGTTACCATTGGAAATAGCAGTGAGGCACAATGCTCTGAAATCACTCCCAGTGCATTAAGATTCCTTAAGTGTGACTGGATCTTGTCGTAAAGAACCGACAAAGTTGGTTTTTCTTTACTTGTGACGTTCTGTATCGTTAGAGCCAACATTTGCCTCATGTAATACTCTTTCAAGAGATCGTCTCTTCCGAATCGACTCTTTAGAGCTTCAACAACTTCGTTGTACATTTCAGGCGTCGCAGGGTAGCTTTCAACCAAGTCACGGGCAGGCGATCCAACCGCAGTTGCCATTATAAGATACTGGATCTTATCTGCTGGGTCTACATTCTGGTCTTCGTCGATCTTCTTAAATTGAGACCAAAATGGGAGCCACTCACCTAGTTCCCCGTTAAACTCTTTTAGTTTCAGATAAGGTAGCTTGTATGAGCGTCCTGCTTTACCCGATCCTGAGCCTTTTTGCGTTGTTTCACTCCTTTCATCTTGATGTGAATTCATTTCATTAATTTTTAGATGTTCCACTTTCTTAGAAATAAGATGATATTGTACAATATATTAATTTTGCCCTTGAAGTTCTTCATCAATGTCTTCATCTCTCGCATCACCATCTAACAATTGATCATATATTGATGAATTTAGGTCGTTGAGAGTGCAAAAATGATTATTTATTACTTCAAGCTGTGCTGATACTTGTATAAAATCAACTATTTCTTCCTTTAAAATATCTTCAAGTTTTTTAACTGTCACAGTAAATGTCCTTCGAATAGCCGATCTTGATTTCTTTAGTTTTGTTAGTTCAGCCATGTTTTCCAATTCACTGTTTCAGTAATCAAAACAATCAAAACAATTTTGTGTGTTCAATAAAACAGGGTCAAATTTACTCGTTATCACGTCCTGTCACGGTCGCCATATTTTACAACTTAGGGGAAATTCCTTAAAAAATATTAAATATTCCCTTCAGGTTCTAACGAGTAATTAAAATAAAAACCTCTTTTATTCACTTACTAAAAGAAACTGTATTCTTAAGAATTTTTAACATCACCAACTACCTTTGTTTACAAATCAGAATGATAATTCAAACATATGAACATATGTTAGTTCCACACAGTACAGTAATTAATTAAACCAAAGTCTTTTAAATTGTGGGTATGAAACCAAAGTCTATTAAATTCAATTCGTAACACGCGTCATCTGAAGACATAACATGTACTTATTATTTAGTGTTCTACTGGGTTTTAATTGCAGTTTCTGTCTGAATGATCATAAATGTGCTTCTGACCAACATTGAAGAAACTTCAAAATTCTGATCCACATCCAAAGTCATTAAAGTACCAAGAATCTTAATTTTATGTTCTACTTATCAGAAACTATAAACAGATAGGGAAGTTTTTAGTTTCTTCTTGAATAGTGGCAATAAGTGTTATTCTGTCTCCTCTATATTGTTAGATAAACTCAAATTGGGAATTCAAATGATTTGGAATGATGAATTTTTAGCACATGCGCGTCATCTGAAGACATAACATGTAGTTATTATTCAGTGTTCTACTGGGTTTTAATTGCTGTTTCTGTCTGAATGATCATAATGTGCTTCTGACCAACAGTACTTAGAAATTTAATAGTTAAATAATAGTTTAATAGTTAAAGGAAAGAAATTTAATCATTCTGATTTTTTGTAAAAGTCCTTAAATAGGCTAGATTTTAATTTCTGAAAGTAAAGAAAAAATTAAAAGGATCTTGAGTTTGAACAATTTGGTATGGTGAGTGTTAAGTTTTGCTATTGCGAATCGTAGCATTAAGTTTAATATTATTTCTAACATAGATTGTCAAATTTGGCCAATTTAATTTTTTTGGAATGATGAATTTCAAGCACATGCGCGTCATCTGAAGACATAACATGCAGTAATTACTCAGTGTTCTACTGGGTGTTGATTGTGGTTTCTGTCTGAATGATCATAATGTGCTTCTGACCAACAGTACTTAGAAATTTAAGACATTTTTTGATTCAGTAAAATATACACTTAAGAATCTTTGCTAGGCCTTGTATTATGTTTGATGAAAAACTCCAACTAATAAGAGAATTTTCAAAAGTTTTGAGCTAAAGTGATAATATTGTAATTTAAGGGAATTTTTATTTTTTGAAACCGGAACCAGTTGTCCTTGATCATAGTGTGGGGGTTTGATGAATGGTCGTAAGATTCAAAGATTTATTTCAACAAGAAACGTGATTGCTCACATATTTAGTTGACGTCATGATACAGAACAGGTAGAACTGACAGTGGTGAATAAGTCTTTTAGATGAGTGTAAGTATCAAGATGTAAGTAAACATTTTGGCATAACAGAGCGATTGAATGATATATAGGTAAACTCAAATTTGGGATGATGATAGACAGGCACATGCGCGTCATCTGACAGCAAAGACTGTGTTGTGTTCAGTGTTTTACTGGATTCAACAACCATCGATGCTTGGACCATGATAATGAATGTGCTTCTGACCAAAATAAATACCTTTGCTTACCTAGATACGACCACATGTTTTGTTAGTGAAGCATGGAACGTGGTTTTATTTAACTAAGTTATACAATGATTTGCACACAAGTGAATGCAACAAGACCTATAATAACTACAAAAAGCTTAGATTTTTATAAAAGAATTATTACTATTTCCCTCATAATAATTATTTTTTTGTTTGTTTAGGCTTTTGTCAAAATTGATTATTTTATAACATTCATTTGTTGGTGGAATAATTGTCAACTGTACATCTACACAGTTAAATTTGAAATTTACTTGAAACAACAGATGTAGTAATGTAATGTGTGGTTAAGATACTCAAGCAATGCTTTAGTACAGTTTTTGGCATTAGCTATTTTTTTACAATAGTTGTAACTAGATAACAGTTTGTTCTATAACCTGTTATTTGTGTGTTCAGGAACGGGTCGTGGGAGGGAGGTCATGATGCTGCTGGTCCGTGGCCAGATGAGAAAGTCGGGGTGTCTTGGAACGACCCTTCGCTGCTGTCTGGACCAAAGTACAAGATGGGAGGGGAATGGGATGTCAACCCAATGAATCCAGGATGGGACCACCCGCCCAAACAGGTACAGTTCTATTAGTTTATTAATTATTTAAATTATGGCATGAAGAGAACATGATTCTAACAAAATCAAATCATATGTTGGCAGTGTGTATTGTATCAAGGCCACACTAAAAAAACATGCCGTAATGCTCGTCTAGCATGACGTCACGATAGAAGACTGCGATGACGTAATTAAGGTTATATTTTTGTTTTCGATGAAAGATTAAAACAAGCAGCTGATCACAAACGGCAAACATTACGTCATTGCCGTCTTCTATCGTGACGTCATGCTAGACGAGCATTATGGCCTGTTTTTTTTAAGTGTGGCCTTGATTGTATTGTTAATTTTGCTTCTGATTTACTTTTAAGAGAATCTAGGATTTACATCTAAGGCACCTATCATAAGATGCAACTTTGCTGGACACAAGTGTGAAAGCACAAAGTTTAAACTTAAGAAACAAAGATACAGTGTGTAATCATTTACATTAGACTCAATGCTGTGCAAGTTACAGAGGCCAAAAATTGTATTCAGCTGCCTGTCATATCTTTTAAAGCAAAATTTCCAAATCAACATCTTAATAAGAGCTTAAAACTTGGCGTTAGTCGTATACGTACTAAAGTGTAGGTTGGTGTGGGAGCGAGCGACTTCAGTCTGAGGTCCCGGGTTCAAATCCTGCCAAATCACCAATGCCTAGTGATTATGCCGCAAACCCCTAGGTCTAGCCTGAAGTACAGTAGACTCAGTCAGTAATCTTGCAGATATAGGACCGTGATGCTGCCGGATTACTGGAGTGTTGTCAATAAAAAACTTAAAACTCACTTAAAATACGTCTCCGAAGTTTGCGCGATCGGAAACAACTATTGCTGCAATGGGTCATGACGACGATAATGTTTCCGTAATTGTGGGAATCGTTGATAACGCCTAAACATCCATGGGAGATGTTCATGATTTTGCTGCGTTCGCGCATGACAACTGTGACGTTTCCGTGACCGTGGGAGATGTTCATGACTTTGCCTCAATCGCGCAAGACAATGATGACTTTTCCGTGGTTCCGCCGGACTACTGGAATGCCGTAGTGGTGCAGTGCCGGATTAGATAGAGTCTACTGTAATGTGAAAAACAATCCCGGGCTCGTGCCTAGCGTTCTAGGAAAATAAAAGTGTAGATTGGTTCAGGGCTAGAGATATACAAGGGCTGGCTCACTCCATTGATGTTAGCGGTCGCCGCCTGATCCTACTTCCCCTCTCCCGCCCCTCCTCAGTGACGTAGCGCTGGTACATCGGCGCGGCGCGACGGTAGCCTAGCACGGCATTGCATAGCATATGTCACCCGACATCTACGCGCATATTAATAATTGTGTTTATAATATAAGCAAAGGATTAGCAAAAATTCATAGGGCCGGTTTCGGAGCTCGGGACTAACGCTATTCCTGGACTAAAATCCAGTTCAAACCAGTTTTTATTCTAGGACTAAAAAATCGGGTTTCGGAGCTCGAGGATTACGCTAGTCAACGACTAAGTCTATTCCGAGAGTTAACTAGTCCCTGACTTACTCTCATGGGTTTCGGAGTCACGGGTTACTTAATCCTCGGATTAAATGTTATTCGATCGGGTTTCGGAGCCAAATATTTAATCCACAACTGGGCAACAAAGACTAACTCGAGGAATAAATATGGGCAATTTTTAGTCCAGGCGAATGGGCAGGATTAAGGGGCGGACTAACTTAACTTTTGGTGTAATTACTCAATTTGTGAAGTTGTATCTATATAAATGCCAAATTCTTAATCGGCATAAAATTTACTTGCAATTTCATACCTCTTGATATTTTTTCGTAAAATTTTATTTTTCTTTTAAGTATAAGCAAACCCATCTTTGAATGAAACCCGTTTATCTACAATTTATGCTATAATATCATGATTAATAATTAATAACAATGACTATAATAGGCCAAACGGTCCCTAAAATTAATATTATAAGGTACTAAACGTAGAATTTAAAATAACAATATAACGATGAAAGAAAGAAAAACTTAACTGTATGAAAAAATTAATGTAGGGCCTATCAAATCTAAATACGTATTTAATACGCTTGGTACATAATGTTACATAGGGTTACATGCATTTAAATGGTCCATTTAACGAGTTTTTGGGGACCCGTTATCCGGACTGGCCTTGGTCCAGAGGAGTCCGGATAGTCTACTGTAATGCAATATTTTACTAAAGAATACTTTTAACCAAAACTAACAGTATGCATAACAAAACAAGACTTATGTATTAGTATTATTTTCAATTGAAACTCATACCTAGTATAATAATTTGGAATTTGGGTAAAAAAAAATAAAAAATATTTCAGCCGTGAGTTAACTCCGACAACCTGGATTCTCAGATAACCGGAGCTCAGATGATTGGAAGTTAACTGAAGTTGCTTGGACACCTACTTATTCTCTACTACACATTGTACTTCCAGAGGAATTGTTAAAATACAAAACAATCAGAGAACACAAATACATTCTAAGCAGATAAATTATAACTAGGCCTACTCTTAAATTGTTGTAATAATGATAATTTTTTACGGTTGATTTTCATACAAAGAACAATAAAATATTTCCCTTTATTTTTTATCATCCTACAGAATTTATTTTAAAATAATTGTAAGATCTTAAATAGACAATTATTGGGGTTTGCATTAGGATTACAAAAGTCACAACCAATCTCTAATATCTCAAATGCCTACAGTTTTTAGATTCTCATAAAAAATAACTTGGACAAAGTAAAGGCATATACTAATACATTTGACACCTTATTCTTCAATCGGGAAGTTTTTTTTTGTTATCAAACTTAACAGCAATAAATAAACCTTCAGTTTTTTTATTTATTTTTTTTATGATGGTTCCCATAACAGGGTTTTTATTTTGGCATTCGTTTTTGAACACGATCTCTTCTTTTAGTTACCATCTTCAGTGAAACTCAAGGAATCATTATCCCAACTGATAAGTGATTAGAACCAGACTAGACAGTAGATGCTAGTGTCGCTATGAGCGCTGTCCGTGAACAACTTTGGCAGGTAACGTCTCAAATTCGTCTGTCCGCTGCCACTACCAACACTCAAAAACTAAAATTCCCCGTGATTCCTACCTTAGTCCTAGAATAAGAAGTCCAGAAGTTGACGAATAAAGTTAGTCTCCGAATAGACTAGTCCGCGGACTAGGGAGTTAGTTCGCGAGCTCTGAAACCCGATTTTTTATTCGATGACTAACTTTATTCACTGATTAAGTAACTCCAGGATTACGTATTCCCGAGCTCGGAAACCCGCCCATATAGGCTTAAACCAACAGACCAAACGTTTTGAACCGTATACTTGAAGTGTTCGTAATGAAACGAAGAACTTGAAAATGGCAACAAAATAAATATTTAAAATATTGTACAATATTGTACAAATTATAATCATGATGTAAACTGATAAAGTAAAATCACACCAAAACTCGACTGCTTAGTTATTGGTTATCAGAGATTGAGGCCCGTTAGTCAGGCAACTTTATTTTAATGGATTGAAATATGTATAATAAAATGTAATTGATAAATTGAAATTCTTTTCCTTCTTGTTAATGTTTCAAAATACTAAGTATAATGTATTTGTATACAACCTTAATGTATTTTATATAACCTCAATTAATTCTAAAAGGTATGAATAAATAATAAATAAATACAATTAAAAATCCATACATTAAGATACATTTGAGCAATACAAACACAGATATTACACAGTAACTTAATGCATTGGATCAATAACTACAGTATTCTTAGCCATCGTTTTACAGTCCACTCCTATCCTTAAGGATATACTAAAGTCATTTTTTTATTTATTAAAATTTGATGTTATACGTAATCCTATTTGAAAATCAATTACTTTTATAAAATATAGTAATACCTAATAAAAAATGTCTAACATAGAGCTTATTCGACACTAAATGTGCGGCAATACCAGCGCTCACACATGCAAAGCTATACGGTGCCGGGAGCCCGAGGTACCGCTGTGACGTCACAGCGGCGGAGTGGAGGGGAGCCACCTGGCATCACTTTCTGAGCTCGCGTGGCCTAGCCCTTGTATATCTTTAGCCCTGAGTTTGGTTCATCTTATTTCCTGATCTAACTTTAATTTTGGTTACACATGAGGGTTTAATTTTAATAGATAATTATTATTCTAGTTGGGTGTTGGCTATCATTGTGCAATTCTTAAGCATCAATTTTTACTTTGTTTTATAATAATGTTGTTTCATATTTTTCAGCCTCAAAAGCCTTTGTCTAAAGACATTGTTTGGGCGAGCAAACAGTTCCGAATTCTTTCTGAAATGGGATTCAAAGTAAGTAAAAAAACTGTCTTGAACAACTATAACATATCTATTTAATGTCTCAAAATTCTCTTAATAGACTTAAAAATAGTAAAGCTCATATTTATTATTATCCTAGCATTAGTGTTTTGTATTTCTAAATATAACCTTCTTACTTTACTAGTTACTAGTCCTAGTACTTAGCTAGTTAGACAGTCACCGAATTATTGTAATATCTGAATAACAGAAAGAAGACATTGAGACTGCCTTACGAAACTCGAACATGAACATAGAAGATGCTCTGGAGTTGCTGAACATGTCAGGCAACTGGCGCAGAGGCCACTCAGACATGGAGCCTCCGTTTGACCACTCCAACCCTCCTGGACAGTTCACCTCTCAACGCTTCAACCCTCAACAGCTGCCCTTCGCACCTCCTGTGAGTGAATAACATTCTGCCACTCGGAACATTTGGGAGTGTGTTGTTTATTGGTTTTTGATTGGGTTTCCCCTTCATTTTTTTTGTCTTTACCTCGAGTTCTTGCCTTCCATCTGTCATTTAATTTCATCAGTAACTTTATTTAACACCATTCATTGAGCCTAGTTTGAAATATTGTAAAATAAATGAGGTTTTAGTCGGAACTAAGATTTTTTTCGTCTTATTTATCGTATGTTTAAAAGTTTGTAATCGGCACTAAATGCTGATATAAATTTATGTGTAAATTACAGAAGTTTTTTGTCTAATGAATATGTGGATGTAAATAATCTTTTTTCTGCAATAAAGTACAGTATTTAAGATGGTTTTTTTTATTTATTTCTCTAAACAACAAAGTTGGATAGTTTGATTTTCTAAACAAACAAGCACATATTTATTATTTTAATTTTGTTTTTACAACAAAAAGTTTTCTAGCAATTTTTTCATAGCAGATTCCCGAAGCATTAACCTATGGCATGTGATACGGTGTTGGTCTTACACTTTCCTTGATCTCATTGATGTGTGGGATGGATTTAAATTATTATTACTTTGATGAATGATGGTATGAATAGCACTTGTTATTTTAAGACCATCATTCTCTTTTTGATTCACACATTGACATTGACAATCATTGTTATTACTAGATCCTTGCAAATAAATCTGTACCATATAGATAGACAGTTTGATTTACGTTTTCACATTCGAAAATCACTCTACAACTTGCACTTAAATTTGATGGACTTTTACTCACCCGCTTTGCTGTAGGCCAGTGTCAATGTGTGAGGGCTTGGCTTTTGTTGTACAGGGTTCGAGTGGGAACGGTCCAAACTCAAGCCAGCTGGGTAGCATGAGCCCAGCGATTGTCCAGAAGATCATGACACAGCAACCACCTCCAGCGCAGACGCCTAGTCAACCTCCTGCTACCTTCACCCAGGTAGCATGTTCTCTACAGCTACAGTAACTGACTTATGTTGTCTTGCATGTTAAATCACCCTTACACCCTTCACTACATTCAGTCATCAACTACTTTGCCTTTAGTCAAATCATGATTATTTTGATTCAGAGCAGCACAAGGAAAATATTATTTTCTTTTTGGATTCCAAGTGAAACCACCTATTTTTGGAGAACTTCCCATTTAAGAGAATAAGCTATTATCTAAAGGAATAATAAGCTATATCTTGGTAAGGCCTAGGCCCTGGACCGATTTACTTTTTCATGTCCCCAAACACCATCTGTTCAAATTCATATATACATATATGTGTGTTTGTGCGTCTGTTAGCACTATACTCGAGTTAAAATTATCTGATTTTGATGAAATTCTATATAAATGTGTAAATGTACATTTATTTGAACAAGTTTGAAGTTTGAACTAGCATGATCTGATAATGGGTACGGGGTTTTATGGGGTAAAAATTAGTCCTTATCATTTTTTGATCCTAGAAAAATGTTTTGATTTCTTTCTGTACCATTTTGTGTATATAAATAAAAGCAAATATTGAAGAGTGTTTGATTGCCAAATGGTTTACGAGAAAATTATAAAAAAAAATTAAAAATGTAGTTTGCTTGTTAATTGGATATTATTTGATTAAATTTGGCTAATTGGTTTATTTCATACCAAGCCATTGACATTTCAGTAAAAGACACAATTTATTACCTTTCCTGTAGTAGCAAATTTAAGTATTCATATCATAATTCAAATTAATTTTATTTAAATAGGAAATAAATCTGACAATGTTAAGGGAGTATTTTAGTTGATGGAAATTTGCTTCCTGCAGGTTAACTGTTGCTGGGGTATATTTAGCTGTTGGTTTAGTTTTCACAGTGATACAATTGGGGTTGTCTCAATATAATTTCAACTTAAACATTTCATGACGAGAAAGAGTTGACATTATGGAGAGTTTACGTTAAAGAGCAGTGACCCAAGTAAACTAATAGTGATGACTTGATGTAGTACGAGGGAAATATTTACTAAAAATAAAGGCTTCTTATGACTATTTTATATTATCTTTCTTTGATGTATATGATTTAATATTTCATTGTGTTTTCCCTTCCTTCAACTGTTTTAAACAATTATTGGTACATTCGAATTTCAATTTTTTGTGGCTTTGTTTGCATGACCTGGGTTTATATGTATCAGATTTATTTGCTAAACTGACTTAGAAAGTATTAAGTTATGTTAATAGCAAAACATAGAAAGTAGGAAATGAATAGTACTTTTTAAATTATTTTCAGGACTTTTTATCTCCCATTTGCTTTTTAGACTCAGTTAATGAAATACTATTGTTTGTACACTTTTTAGAAAATTATTTTCTAAACTTTGATTGTTATTTCATAGCTTTAGGTAGAAAGATAAAGTTTTTAAATGGTTGTTTGTAGTTGTAAAGTTTTTTTATAAACACCCTCTAGGTATATCTAATGATCAAATGATAAAGTTTTGTCTATTTAACCCAGGCTATCCAATAGGTAGACGGTGAAAATCTTAGAATCAAATATGCCGTAAATTTTGCCTACTCTGGAAAAAATCTTGAATAATTTGTACATTTTGCGGTCAAAACTATGACAAAATATATTTGCGCCAATTCCGATCTACAATTCGAACAGACTGTGTCAATATAGCATCCGATTATTGACTAAAGTAGCTGTAGTAAAGTAGGTAGAACATGCTTGCACATTTGCACAAAACATGACAATTCTGCCAGTATGATTCAATAATCTCTTTGACAAACCTATTTTGTAAGCTCTTAAGTGCTTTAAAAGACCTGACACCTTCTAACTCACTCTGTTGTATTGTGTTCGCAGACGACACGACCACAGCAGGCCAGTCAGCCGTCGGCTCACCAGCTGAGGATGTTAGTGCAGCAGATTCAAATGGCAGTGCAGACTGGCTACCTTAACCACCAGGTGTGTGTAGTATGTGGTAGACAGGGTAACTTGGATAGTGTTCATCTAGCTCAGCTGGGAAAAAAGTAAATAGGCTCATAGATATACAATACAACACCCGGTTAAAACTTTGATTCTTACTAGACTCATCAGTTAGGTATTTTCCAATCCCATCGATCTGAATGTATTAATAGTTGAATTATGATATTTGCATGTAAAATATATTGTGCTTGCAGTAGGACCGTGACTCAATATTTGTAACAGAGACTACATTGGGAACAACTGAGTGTACAGTTTAAATGTTCACTGATTTTTAGTTTCTATACCCTTGTGCTCAGGGTTTATTTAACAAAATACTGCATTCCCTCATAGAGTAATGATCATTAATGAATGAAGAGTTTTCTGCGACTTCATCTATACTACAACATTGGGTAAAACTAGGTTCCGCTTAAAAAAATATTATTTGGGAGTAAGTAAGGCGTCAAGTGATCTTGGAGAGTTGAATTTGGTCAGTAACTTGTCTGGCTTTTGTCAGATACTGAACCAGCCGCTGGCACCGCAGACACTGATCCTACTGAACCAGCTGCTGCAGCACATCAAGGTGCTTCAGAATCTGCAGATGAGTCAACAACAGATGCTGCAGCTGCAGAACCCTCTAGCCAAGCAGCCACAAAATGACAAGGCACTGCTGCATAATGCTGTACATCTCACCAAGACCAAGCAGCAGATCACCAACTTGCAGGTAACAAAACACATCCTAGACATTAAAACGGGGTAGAGCTAAGGTGATGTGTGTGGAAGGTCTACACATTTTGAATCTCTAATTCACGTGTATTGTATGTATCAAAAGGTATGTTTAATGTATACCCTTCCCACATGGAATTCTATTTTATTTTAATTATTGTTGCTCTTTTGGACAGAATACTTGGTTCTGCACCCAGCCTCATGACTGTTGTGCTTTTTATCTGTCTGACAATAATCAGATTCTTCACTCAGGATGGCCCATGGCTCTGCCTGTCTTTGCGGATCTACACATTTATTTATAATTTTAAAACTGAAATTAAAATCTGCATATTTAGACTTGGTCTATACTTAACTTCCAAAATTGCTACCTTCGTTACAACAAGTAATTTGGTCCAAGTAAAATATTTCATTTCATATTGGCTTGTATAAAGTTAACGATTTAGTTCGAATAGATCAAAAGTAGGGCAAGAAATTATAGAAGAATCTTAACAATTTTTTAACACCAACATTTTGAAATCCTACTTGATAGTAATCATGCTTTTCCTCCTGTATGAAATAGACCAAGTGTTATATTTTGATTTTGATTATTAGTTGGCATATTCTTCTATATAGTCTCACTATCCAATCTTCATCACGGTACAGTAAAATACTCAGTATAATGTATTATTCACCAAGTCAGAGATTAAATAAAACAAAAACTATAACAGGTAGGAAATTAATTAATTAATCGGTAATTTTTTTGCATAATTGTTGGATGAATTGAGTTTTTGTGACTCAAAATAAATCGCTGCTGTATTGATCCAGCTGTCTCACCATAATGTCCGTCTTGTCTTTGATAGAATGAATCTAGACTATAGAAGATTGCTACTATGGATGCATTGGCCTTAAATTAGCCAAATCTTTTCAATCACTCTTGTTTGTAATTATATGAATGTTTTAACTTAGTAACAAGTTTACTCTGCTTTATTACACTAATGGTTGTCGTCAACAGAACCAGATCCAGGCGCAACAGGCGATCTACGTCAAGCAGCACAACCAGATGCCTCCACAGGCTGGTGCCAGTGACTTCTTCAAAGCCAATCACGACCCTCTCTCCGCCTTGCCTTCCACCTTCAGTGAACTGTCCCTAAACAAGGAGCCTCAGGTAGGCCCAATTAACTATCTACCTAAACCCCAGTTTTCTATTCTGAATTTTATGTTTTAACCCTAGGAGTGGCAGATCGACAGAAAATGTCGATTTCAAAATGTGCCGCTGGAGTGGCGGGCGACAGAATATGTCGATTTATGTAACGTTTTTTTCAGTTGCATGTTAAGCACATTTAAAGTCAGTGAAATTACATAACTCTTATACCAATGGAAAGATAAGATTCCGAAGTTACATTTTATTATAAGAATGAACCTTATAACATAAATACATCGATCTTATAATGAGTTACATTTAAACGAAAAATACTCGCGAACGCCATGTTTTGTTGCGCAATCGTAAATGATGAGTCATTTCAAAAATAAATAGCAGACGTAATTTTTGTCTCTGACAAAAGCAAGTAGTACCACTGCAACAAGCATGAAGAAATCTTTTATTCTGTATAAAGTATAACGTCATAATACATTCCAACAGCTGATGAACAATTTTTGTAAATAGCCTATTTTTACGTATAGTTCATGTGGCGGATCGACATAAAATGTCGATTTCTAAATCGCATATATATACAATGTGAAAAGTACAAAAACGTTGTTTTATATACGCTCTTGTAGACGAAGGACAGTAGAATTCAATGTTGTTAGGCTGGTCACACAAATAGAAGCTTTTGATTTTTCAAAACTAAAGGAACAGAACACTTGTCATCGTCTAACCTAAAATGGCGGCGTCGTCGTGAGTTTTTGTCCAATAACAAAGACGAAGTGTGGGTTTTATCCCTAATTTTACAGTGTAATGTTCGATTTAGTTTTTTATTTTGTATCAGGCAAAATGCATTATTTTGCATAAATATTTATACATATGTGATCCAAAATAGGATAAAAAGTGACGTTTTGTGGGCTATAACAGCTGATTAGTTGTTTTGTTTACATTTTTGCTTTTGTGAAAACCAAATATTCTATTACTTATCTTATTTAGTTATTCTTATATAGAATGATATTATTGGCTTCAAAAAATGTATGGTTTTATCATATTGATTTATTAGTAGAGGTTATTTGTGGATCTATCAACGTGTAGTTGAAGAAATTGACGTTTTCCAATTTTTCCGTATTATTGCTAGTAAATCTATAAAAAGAATTCTTTTGTGTATATTATGATTTGTCTATGTAGAGGAATAAATTCTGAACAAATTGCATATTTTGAATTGTGCAATAAAAAATTACGTTACATGTGACACGTGTTTGCTTTTGAAATAAAATTTGAAAAAGTTATAAATTTTCTTTTTTTTACTTTTTTCTAAAAATCTACCTTTCCAAAATTGGTTTGTATTACCATTTTTGAATTCTACTGACAATTACGAACAAAATGAATATACGGTTCAATAGTTTATCTCTACATACTAATTTTATACAGATTTTTGAAGAACTCCCTTACAAATTCACCAAAATGAGCGTGCCACTCCACAAAGCACATACTGAAAATCGGTCTCGCCACTCCTAGGGTTAAAAATAAAGAACAATTTTTAAATAGATTTCCACCACTTAGTTACGACTTCACAAATATATTATTAAATGTCCTTATTTTATGGGCTTAAATAGGTTTAGGAAAAGTAGCCTATGAAAATGTCCTGTATTGACCTAGAATGGTTATAGTATTTCGTGTTGCATATTCAATTGTTATGTGACAAATTCCAGTTGAAATAAGTAGGTTACTAACTACTCTTGTATCTGTATTGATTGTGACTGTCTGTGCAGCACTCGTCAGCATTCCAGTCTCAGCAGTCGAGACTCAACCAGTGGAAGCTGCCCTCGCTAGACAAGGATGGAGACATGACTGGGTCAGAGTTCAGTCGGGCACCAGGGACAACAGCCAAGCCAGCCACAGGCAACTCATCACCCAACTTGCCACCGCTACTAGGCCAGGCCGACGGGTGAGTCAAAGTCACAACTTATTGAAAGCCCCAATTTGTTTTTACAAACTTTGACTTTCTATTGATATTTTAAATGAAGGGGTAGCAGATGATTTCCCTTTAAGCGTTTAATCAGGCCATAGTATACACAGAAAATAAATACTTTTTGGTCGCAAAGGGTGGTGTGGAAGTAGGGGGAGAAGGAAAAGTAAGGTAACCTTGGGTAATGTGGTATTTGCCACACAGTATTTGGTCATATTAAAACTCCCTTTGGTGTTTCGATGTCAGTTTTTTGGCAATCTCGTTAAGCCCTAAATGTCATTCTTCAAAGGAAAAAAAATGTTATCTTATTATATTGAAATTATTGAGAATATTTCAATATTGATTGAATAATTCTAGGGACAGAGAGAACATTTTAAACTTAGTTTTAGTTTTCAAATTAAGCATGTTCCACTGTGGTTTTGACAGGACATGGAGCCGCAGCAACTCAGAAGGAGGGTGGCCGGACTCCAGCAGTGTGTCAGACGACAGTAAGGAGTGGCCCAACACCTCCCAGGCCTCCAACCAGGCCTTCACTGACCTAGTGCCTGAGTTTGAGCCAGGAAAACCTTGGAAGGTAACTAACTTCATAAAACTCATAAGATGCTTAGTACCAGTAATGAAGAATTGGGTACAACTAACTCGCTTATTAACTTGAAATAACAACTTCACCAATATTTCTGAATTTTTTTATTTTTATGAGGCCTTTCGCCAGCTATGCATATGTATGCTATGTAAACATAGCTGGCGAAAGGCCTCATAAAAATTAAAAATTCAGAAATATTGGTGAAGTTGTTATTTCAAATGAATATTAATTCCAATAATACCAGTTCTTGAAGATAACTCGCTTAAGAAAAGAGTTGGAGATATTTGGTACCAGACAATAAGAGAAGAGCAAGGTGAAATAAAAAAATTATTGTGCTGTGATCTGTTTGTGGGCTGCCAACTTCTTTCAAACGTTTGGTGATATAGTTGTGCATGCGCTTCTTCCTCATTTGATATCTCATTTATACCTTGTTTAAAATTACTCCTTAATATATTTTCTAATCGAGTGATTTTTTTTACTTCCTCAAAACAAACGTATATATTTAACAATGTATCTTACCGTACTAAAACACTAAAGGAATAATTAGGATTCAAGGAATGTTTAAGGATATGGATACGGAGGAAAAATGCTGAGGTTTTAATGCAAAGGCTGAATGCTTTACACCCATTAGCAAATTGGGTTGATAAGCATCATTCATTGGTTGTAAAGAGGTCAGTCGGCCAGATCAGGGTGGCCAGAGCACCTCATGTAGGATGGGTGAGTACTGGTAACATTGTTTTTGGGTTGGGCCCTTCCTTGTACTTTTGAGAAAATAAAGTTTGGATCTAATGATAGTTTGTGTTCATTGAAGTAATTTGCATACCACATATTATGGCCTACATTGTACAGGGTACCCAGATGAAGAGTATCGAGGATGATCCCAGCATCACGCCTGGCTCTGTGGTCCGCTCCCCTCTCTCCCTGGCCACCATCAAGGACACAGAGATATTCAGTAGTGGAGGAGCAGGGGGCAAGACATCCCCCACAGTAGGAGTGGGGGCTGACACCATCCCTCCGATGAGTCTCACCAATAACACTTGGAGCTTCAACCCACCAGCATCCACTACCAGCTCCAGCTTTACCAGGTCAGAAGTGTTAACTGTTTTTCAGTGTTATATTGAAAATAACAATTAATATTCAATTTTTGACTGAATAACTTACTGAGGCATTATGAAATGTTGCTGTTTTGATTTTTTTAGTTTTAATTTTGTTAAGGAAAGGCTCTAGGCCAGGATTTTAAATTGTAGAAAAAGGAGGATAGCTGCTAGCTTACCTTGAAAGTGTGGGTAGGCCATAGAACAAGTAGAAAAAACACTGTGCACACAATATTTTGTCGCCTAAGGGACTTTGTCAAGTGTAGAGAAAGAGTTTATAAACTCTTGTTGTGTGCACAGTGTTTTTTCTACTTGTTCTATGGCCTACCCACACTTTCAAGGTAAGCTAGCTGCTATCCTCTTTTTTTTAGTATTAAAATATTGTTAATGTGTCTTCTCATTGCTTATTTGCTTTCAAGCACCATTAAAGATGTGACATCTGTGTGCATTAAGATTTTTGTTGTGTTTTCTCTCTGCTTCAAAACCTCAGCTAAACTGTTTTTTACAAATAGGTAGTTAATTTCTACTGTGCCCAAAATTCTGCTTTAGAATTTCTTATGTATGATTTACCTGAAGCTTATATTGCTAATAAAATATCTCCGGCAATTATATATATATATATATATTAGGGGTGGGCGAGTACTCGACCTTCGAGTAATTACTCGAGTTTTTTCAAATACTCAACCTCGAGTCGAGTAGTAATTGCTACTCAAAAATTCGAGTCGAGTAGTTATAAATAGTGCCACTTCACGATTTTCTACACCTATATTTAATAAATTATATTTTGTTTTGTGTTGATGCCTTATTTAATCCCCATTCCTACAAAAAACAACTATCTAACCTCATATAGGTTAGACCAGCGTAAACCAAATGTTCAACAAACAACCATCGTCATTCGGCAGAGCTAGCAAGAGGACTACTTAAGACTTTCACTTTCCTAAAACAATACGTCTCGATAACGATACAGTAAGTTGAAATAAAGCATTGAATGAATCTACCGAATTGCAATAGTCGATAGTCAACAAGGGAGTCTCGTGACTAGTATAACAATGGCAGACGATTCTTGAAGATATTACAAAGTACAGTATCAGATTTAGTTTGAACTGCCATAAAAATATTTTAAACCAAAATATAGAAATAACAAAATATTTTATACCAAAATATAGAAATACAACAAATAAAAATAACCTGTTGTAGCATAATATTTTTTTACATTAATCGGTATTGGTGTTTAGTTTTACAAACCGATAAGTTGCTGCAAGGAACATGCATCTGAATGACGCAATCTCATTGGGTCTTGGCAGAAAGAAAAGATCAGTTCCACTTTAAACTCAGTGTTGCCAGATGGACGATAATTTTTGTACTTTTACAACTGTGGTATTGGCGTAAACAAACTTTAAGTATAATTTATTTTCTAATGAGTTTACATAAACATGATTAAAATTAGTCAAACTATTAATTTTTTTTACGAAATAAAAGCTATAGCAATTTTATGATAATTTTACCGACATTCACCATAATGGTGTAGTGATAAAAATATGGCAACGTCAGCCCTGCAAAACAGCTGTTTGATGGGAAAACAAAGCAGAAGCAGAATGAGCAGACTGACGAGAGAGAGAGAGAGAGCAGATATGGTGACAGCTGGCGTATGGCGTAACAACAAAACAATGGATTGGAGTGAAGTTATGTCAATGTTAGTTTTGAATGTTTTTACTTTGAAGTGAATTTGTAACTTAAAATAAAATTGATTTTGTTAGTGGAAGTTTAATAGAAAGTAAGTTTGTGATTTTGACTGTGCAATTTTCAATCTGGTGGCAGAAACATGACAACTACAGATTGAATTGTAACTTAACCTAGAAAATGTGAGTTTATAAAGAAAGGCCAAATAGGCTATACCGGGCTACAGTGAAATGTGTTTTAATTTTAAATTAAGTGTTCAATGTGGGATTTTATTTCGAGATAATAGGCCTACTATGTTTTTGTTTGATATTTTCAGTCTGTCAGAGATGAGTGACTTGATCATTGTTTAAATGTACTGAGTGAAGAGGATAGCCCTAGCACCCATAACCTTCAAACTTAAGACGGAGTGCTTATCCAATAGTGATTATTTTAAAATACCTAATTGCATATTGATGTTTTTAACTTGTGATACAATATGTAGTTTGATATTAGTATTGTTTTATAAATAAATTTATTTTTATAAATTCTGTTTCTTATTTGAATTGAAATTATTCTTAAAGTTACCTTATTAAGATAGTTGGTTAGGTTGATTATCATGTTAGTGAGGAGGAATTAAAGGCAAGAAAAAATCAAACACATAATAACAAGTGATGTGTAGGCCTAAACAATTTAATGCTGCAGCCAACAAGTAGTCTAGGCCAAATTTTTTATTAGGCCTAAGGTAGGAGGTACTAATAATTATAGTTCGGCCGCTTAGAAAACAACCTGCGCGCTAATGCTAAACCAATGCTGAAGGAGGTCGCTTTCTAAGCGGCCGAACTATAGTAACCATATAACTTACAAAATTTGGTATAAGTACTTAAACTACCTATATAGTCCTAGGCAGGGTTTAGGCTAGGACGAAATTTGTTTCAGCAAAATGCTGCAAACTCTCTGCAAAGACAAATACCCCCGCCGCAGCAAACCTGCAGACTAAGCGAATTTCAACTTGTCTGATTACATATTTACTAAAATACTTCCATAAATAAGACATATTTATTCCCAATTTAAATAACATTAGATAGGCTATAACGAGTGCTTAGGTTTGCTGCTACGGGGAAGGTAAACAGTGTTTTATGACCAAACGTCAATAGTATAGGATGAAATAAATAAGTTTGCCAAATTTGATCAACATATATCCATAAACAAGTAAACTACAACAGTTTTCATTTTCTCCATAAGAACAACATGGGAATTTTAAATTTGCATTTTTTTGAATTTTCTCCGTGACCGTTAGGCATACAACAATGCTTCAATATACTAAATTATTTCTTTTTTTAAGCTCTACAAAATGGTTGGGAAAAAATTCTAAAATTTTATGTTTTTAGGGTCAAAAATGGGAAAAACCCATTTTTACCCTATAAAACCCCCCATTAACACGTTGGGTGCTGATGACGGGAATTCCCGCAATTGCTTAACATTGAAATAAATGCAACTTTTATGTTCAAACATGTCGATAGCACGAATAGTGTTAACCCCTGTTCCCATGGTCCAATTATGCTGGATCGCGAACTCGTTAGAATAAATGTAGGTTTACACATTTGTACCAAATTTATTCAAAATCGGATCATTTTTGCTCGAGTTATCGCGCTAACGGACACATATATATATATATATAAATATGAATTTGAACGGATGGTGTTTTTGGGCTCTAGGGACCTCAAAACGAAAAAAAAAATCGGTCCCGCGTCCAGGTCTTACCATGAGTACTACGGTAATAGCTTATTCCCTATATGGGAAATTCGCTAAAACTAAGTTAACTGTAGAAAAAATATTATTCAATAACTTAAGCATTTAAAACAAAAAATTCCAGTAGGCTAATATTACATTTGTTTGAACATTACTTTTTTCAATTTTATTTGTAGAAAATTTGCCATAGGCCTAGCCTGCCAAATAATGTAAACTTAGCATTTTTAAGTTGTGAATAGCAAGATGCTAATAATACTACCGCAGCTTAAACCCCTTGGCCTAGGCTTACTTAACGCGCAACTACTCTGCTCGACTCGATACTCAAGTTTTTACTCAAATACTCGACTCGACTCGAATTGAAAAATCACTACTCGCCCACCCCTAATATATATATATATATATATATAATATTGATGTAAGATGGTAAAGTCCCTGAATTTAAAAAATAATTTTTTTACATGTGCTTTAAAAACCCTGTTAGACTGCCATCTACTCTTTTCATTTGAGAGTTAAATGTCTTCATTCTAAAATAAGTTGTTCAGTTCTGATTATACCTAGTTAATCTTAGAATATTCTACAGATTTTGTTCAGCGTTATAATCACCCAGCAGCCACCTTATAGTAACACAATACAGTAGAGTCCCGCAAACTCGGCACTCGATAACCCGGCAGTCTGGATAACTCGGCCATCACCTGGCTCAGAAAATTAGTGATATTTTGAGTCCGAGTTAAACATGGACTCGAGCCAGCTCAAGTAAAATCATTCACAACTTGTACCAAGGATTTTTAGTACTATATCTGATGACTTAATACTGACTTGTAATATAAAAAAAGGAGGTTAAAACGCTTAAAAATTTTATTGTCCTTATTTTTAACCCTAGTTCCTGATAACCTGGCATTTCACAAACTCGGCACCCTTCCAGTCCACATTACGCCGAGTTTGCGGGTCTCTACTGTACTTCTATACCTTGATTGCTTCTATGAAATGCCACAATGTATTTCAACTCTAAAAAAACATAGTTGATCAATTCAGTATGATGTTACAGCCCACTAGGAAAGCTGAGCGGGTCAAAGAGTGCTTGGGGTGAAGCTGGCCCTGGGGGAGACCTGTGGGCCCCCAACAAGGCACGAGGTCCCCCGCCAGGCCTCAGCAGCAACAAGGGACCCAGCACCAACGGCTGGGGCAGCCTGGGCGGAGGGGGTAGTAGATGGGGCCCGGGACACAACAATCCCGGGACCACCTGGACCAACCAGCCCAATTCTACCTGGCTTCTGCTCAAGAACCTTACACCCCAGGTAACCTATATGTCAATCAAACACATTTATCAGTAGTTTTTTGTAAGGTTATCAGGTTTTTTTAAGCTCTACAAAATGGTTTGGAAAGAAATCATGAAGTTTAGTGTTTTTGTGGTCAAAATGGGAAAACCCCATTTTCCCCCCATAAACAACTGTCCCCCTAGTCCGATCATACTCGTTCAAATAAATTTACTAATTTAGGTTTACTTACACGTTCCAAATTTCATCAAAATCAGATCATTTTTGCTTGAGTTATTGCGCTTACAGACACACACACATTAATATAATATATGAATTTGTGGACGGAGGGTAGTTTTGGGCTCTGTGGACCTCAAAACAAAAGAAAATCGGTCCTGGGTCTAGTCTTACCATGATACCTATGGTATAGCTTATTCCCTATATGGGAAATTCGCAAAGGAAAATCGTCAGGGTGTCCAATGACCGGGAAAACTGGGAACTATGTGTGAATTTCGTATTTTACCGGGGATTTTTAATTTGCCACGATCGTGCATGAAGATGACGTTCCTGTGACCGCAGGAGACCGACGATGATGTCCAAACGGCCGTGGGATTTGTTAGTGATTTCGCCGCGATCGCTCATGACGACGATGACGTATCCATGACCACGGGAGACGATGATGACGTTTTCGTGACCGCGGAAGCAGACGATGACGTTTCCATGGCCGCGGGAGTAGACAATGACATTTCCGTGACTGCGGGAGCAGACGAAAACGTTTCTGTGACCGTGGGTGACGAGGATGACGTTTCCGTGACCGCGAGTTAAGACGATGACATTTCCGTGACCGCGGGAAACGAAGATGATGTTTACGTGACCGTTTCTGTGACGGAAGAGGATATTAATGTTTCCGTTACCTCTGAAAAATATCAGAATTTTGTCACGACCACGAAAGACAGTGGTGATATTTTTGTTACTGAGTGAGATATTCTGGATTTTTCAGTTATCGCAGAAAACGATGATGGTGTCTCTACGACTGTGTTAGATGATCACAATATAACCTCGAGTTTGGCTTGACCAAAAATTTCAAAATGGCACACTTTTAGAAGGTTTTTTTTATATTTTGTAATATCTTTATTTTCCTTTAACGTGGTATATAGTGTCTGGACAGAGATTCAAAAAATTTTGGTATCGACATATCACTATTTTTAAGAAGTTATTGATAAATTGCAGGTTTAAGGATTAGTTTTTAATTTTCGGATTATTTAATCAGTAATATATATAAATTGAATTGGTATATTTTGTCTTTGGTTGTGTCAGGCAATATTACAGTAATGATAAATTTTATTTCTTTAACTGAGAATGCTCTTTCCGATAACTAAAATAGCGAGCTGTGTTAGCGCTAAAACAGCATTGCGATAGTTGGCGCAAAACACGTTGGAAATTTTAGTACGAAAAGTATGAACTCAACTACCTGGATTTTTTTTTTCTCATGAATTACTCATGATTTTTTTCTAGTTGGCCTGGTGGATACCCTGAAAAAAATAAAAAATGCTAAAACAATGAATCACTTGCCTCAAAAACATGAATAACAACCTTGGCTATAATTATTCCTAATAATCAATGAGCAACATATTGTGTATCATGGTTGTGTTTGCAGCATTTACCCAAGCTCTCAACCCGTATGCTACTAACAATTCAACTTCATAGTGTTTTGTGTATTTCTCTACATCTTATTTTAACTTCTGATCAACTACAATTTGGTCACTTGCACTGGCAAGTATATTTTTCTGAATATTAACAGTTATGAGAATGTGATTTTATACGGAGATTTCTTCAGTAAAAATAGAGAGATTGTATATATGCATTATTTTCCATTTATTCTTAGAATGTTGTTATGACAACACTTTCTGTTTGGCAGATTGACGGATCAACGCTTAAGACACTGTGTGTTCAACACGGGCCTCTACAGAACTTCCACTTGTACCTGAACCATGGCATCGCTCTGGCTAAATACTCCACCAGGGACGAGGCCAGCAAAGTAAGTAGTAACTATGTGTACTTTAAATGAACAACTATTAATGGTATCGACAATGGTTTCATATTTTCATACACTTGTATTGCAGGCTCAAGGGGCTCTGAACAACTGTGTGCTGAGCAACACATCCATCTACTCTGAGATGCTGGCAGAGTCAGAGGTCCAGCAGCTACTACAGCACCTGTCAGCTGGTAGTGGAGCTACCGGGGGTGGCTGGGGACGTGGCGGAGGCAAGGCCACTACCTGGGGCTCTGACTGGCCTCCCGCCTCTAGCTCCTTGTGGGGGGGTGACGCCCCTCCTGACCCCCACCGCTCCACACCCTCCTCATTAAACTCCTTCCTGCCCGGCGACCTACTCGGCCCCGGCGATAGCATGTAACGAGTCGATCTCTTCAATCATCTAGACTGTTCGTCGAAAAGTATTTAAGTAATAAAGTAATTTGTATCTTACAGTAAAAATAATTTTATAACGGTGTAAATGTAACTTAAATTTTTATCAGTATGATAAAGTGCGATGGCACAGCGGACTATTGTGCGTCGTACTGTTTAGGTGAACTGCGCTGTGAAAATTGTGTGGCTTTTTTAACTATATTTTATTACGAGAATATTACCTCTGTTGTTACGATATACTTTCTTTTTTTTATCTCTTATGTTTTATCGAAGACTCTTGAAATGTTGTTCACTTTAGGGATAATAAGAGATTACTATTATCGAAGCATAAATCTGTTAGTGTTAGTGTTACGTTTTCGACTATGGTGCAAAATGTGTATTAAATATTATATTATATAGATTTATAAGTGATTTCTAATTTATAATTTTACTGATAGGCCTTTGCGGCATCTCGGAGCGGTCTCTTCTCTATTAACGAATGACAGGGATCGTAATGTTTTAATTTTTGGTTTATAGTTTGTCTTCCAATACCTAGTGAGGCAGCGAGTTGCGGCCGCTCCACTCGGTGCCGCGTTTCTCGTCTGATTAACCGAATGCCAATTTTAGTTTTAAGCCGAACTCTGCTCTGTGTAGCGTGTCGGGTGTATATACTTTTAATTTCCTTTGATTTTAGAAAATAATTGATACATGTGCTTAAAATTCTTCTCTATTGCCAATCTCGAACCAAATATTATATAATAGGGTAACTGTACGAACATAGTATAATTATGTTTGTAACTGTAGGCGCACTAAGGGTTAGTTTGGTAGTGCAAGTATAGCGTGAGGAGGTGTAAAGACAGAAATTGAGGCCTCTTTGCTCACCCATCTCCTGTAAATGTGATATCGGTCAAGTGATACGTACGCAGATTTCTGGCTGTACACAGAATATATATATTGCTAACTTTAGTATTAAGACGATAAGCTTACACTTTTGTTCCTTCTCGGTTTAAGTAAAACAGAGTTTCGGGGAGTCGTGCCGACCGCCAGTGCGTTTCTAGTCCGTCTCTGAGGATGTTTCTTGTACCTGCGCGAGCGCGCGGTCGGTGCGGCATTTATCTCCGTGCGCGATATTCACCGTCCGAGGAATATCGCTCCGGCGTAGTTCCTGGTCACAACTGCCTCTCTGTTACCGTCGCCCGAATAATCGTGTTTTCCCCTCCGAAAGCTCGTGGGAGTTAGAGTTTTCGCCACGACAATGATTATTAGTTAAGGTATTTTTGCACAAATTGGACACAGGGCATTGAGATATTAAAAGATACGCGGAAGTAATTACTCGATGTAATAATCATGTCTAGATATAAATAAAATATTATCGGGTAATTTTGATCAGCTGTAGAATAGATTCCCTGTGAAACTTGACGATCAGACAATCCTTTTAGCGGTTACCGTTGTTTTGTATCTAAATCATTTTCGATCTGCTTTCAAACTCAGCCATGACGTGGTTTTACGGCTAAATATTTTGTTTTTGTCCAATATTATGTAGTTTGCTATTCAAATTTTTTTGTCAGATAATTTTTATTTTTGTGGATTTTACTCCATTTTTTGTGATTTCGAGATGACAAGTCTTTATTGTTTAGATTTACCGTAAAGCGAACGTAGGCAGGAAGTTCTTGTCTGGTGCTAATTACTAAATTGAATCAGTAAATGAACGTCTGGTCGTCTTCCCCCCTTATGTGATTCAAGTGCCACTTTTTGTTTTTGAGAATAATTATGATATTGATGTTGTACAATTGTTAAAATAAGAGTGTTGAAGAGTTTTAACTTAAAAGTATTGAATAATAATAATAATAATAAAATAATGATAAAAAATATTAAAAACAAAAAAAAAAGTGTGAGTGAATGGGTGTGTGGGTGCTGTTGTAATGTATATTGTGATGTAAGGGTCGGGGGCGTTTATTCATCGCTCTGACCAAACTAATGCCTCACTCTCGTTTCATCGGCAACATCGGGAACACCAATTGAAGACTGTTTGCGTCGACCAAGCAATAATCTGTCTGTCGGTCTGATCCGACAGTGTTCGGCCGTTCCGTTTGTTTGTTCGTTTGTCCGTTCTTGGTCGGCGAGTGTAAACGCCCCCGTCTCATCAGCCATATCAATAATATGTCAATATTATTATGTAGTTTTTTTAACAAATCACATGAGACTTATTAAAGCCAATAGAGGTTACACCAGTCACATTTCGTAGTCTATTTGTCGTTAGTCGATTTTTATTTTATAATTTTCATATATAGTTTCTACCGAGAGCCGAAGTTATAATTTTGTTTGGAAGTAATGTTTTTAGTTTCCAGTCGACGGTTTTTCTCGACCAATCGCGTTTCTGCGGAGACAGCCTTATATCGTTGTTTGTTTGTTTTAGATTAATCACTCGGGTTTGTGGGTTTTGTTTGCAGATGATTCTATACCATAGTTCGTAAGTTAGATGTAAGATTAACGGTTATGGTTTAGTCGTCAGGGTTATACGAGTATTCAGAGTTTTCAAACCGATTTAAGACTGAATGTCGGAGGTTTCAGAGATCTGTCAGGTTCCACCCGCTGACATGTACCGACTCGACAAACTGAACAAAACAAACTTTCCGTGCCTCTTTGGTGAGGGTTGATGTTCAAGGCTGCAGCACCACTCTAGTCTCCCTTAGCTTTCACTCACTTAGCATTTATACATTTACTTTATGTGTACGTGCAATGGCAAGAAAGATCTCCTTTCTCTTGACTCTTACCGTTTTAAAATACTCTGGTATAAAATCAGCAGCAACCATTCAAATGTTCCATATCGAATTTGTAACTGAAAGTATTAACAAATTTCTTTTCTGATGGAGAAAAGGTCGGATATTGTCTTAATTACTACTTAATAATTATTAGATTGAATTTGAGGTGAACTTAGAATTAATTTGTTGAATAGTTAAGCTATTATTATAACTCAACATTCCCAAACGGTGAGATTCTGAAGGAAGGAAATTGTCGTACGCCGTGTCTTGAGGGGTAGAAGATCAAGTATTGTCAAGGTGCCGCTCATGCGCCGGCCTCTTTCCCCCAAGTGCCTTTAGTCTGAGTGCAATTTAGTTGTAATCTAGGCTAAGACCTGGCTTTGTGTTCACTGACTTGACTGTTTAGCCGTAGTTTTAAGTTGGTTTAGTTTAAGTTGCAACTAGCAATAATGCCATCGGCTTCTCTCTCCTCGACTACATTCCACAAGGATTTCGAGGGGAGATTGCTGAAGCAGCTTTTTAACTCTTGTACTTCAACTTGCTCAGTTTTATAAATTGGAATATTGGATCCAGAATTTTTTACATGTTATGGGGTTTTTTTAATTCTAAAGACGAGTACACCAAAACAATAGAGTTATAGGACTGCCCTATGAAGACTGCAGTGGAACGCAATAGTTAGTTTAGGTTAGGATTGGCAGTTCTCAAGTTTTTGGTCATTCCTGTTTTGACATTTCCGCAAAAAGGAACAAATTCCAGATAAGGGCTAGTCTTGACTGCAAGCTCTTCCGTTCCAGTCGACCAAGTAGTGCGAGTTTTGACGACATAGTTTAGTTCCTGCAAGGAAAACTTCCTTATTCATTCGGACTGTAAAGCCTAAGTTTTTCAAACTGATAGAAAATTAGCCTAACAATAAATATTAAATTGTTTTAGATAATTATTGTTATTGTGAATAATTTTTATTTTAATGTTATAGAGTATTGTTTGATTTAGTGTGTACTCAGTGTCTTTAATATCCATTTGTGGCCCATCACTTATAAACATCTACTATTATTTGTATTTTACTGAAAGAACTCAAACTGTTAATTCTCGTTACCAGCTGTGATACTTGCAATTCAGCGTAGATTAGTGTTCAAATCAAATTTTTGTAAGTGAGAAGGTATAAAATGAATAAGGAAGTAGTGTGTTACATAATACTAAAATACAATTTTCAATCTGAAGTCAAACTTCCATGTGCATGAAACCATCAAGGTTTCAATTTTTCCTTCTTTGTACATAATACTCTACTTTTTTATTGTATGCTGTATATAATTTTTGAAATAGTACTGAATGAAATATATTGCATGTCTCAAAAGCCTTTGTAAGTAATAAGATTAAATAATATAACAGTCTATTGAATCTTTAAATACCTAAGCTCAAAAGAGAAAACTAAAGTTTTATGACCCGATGCAATCGAATAGTCTAGTTACTAAGTACTGTTATAATCAAACCGATATTTTGTGATAAACTATCAGTCTCAGATCTCATCCCAGCTCACCATCGTTAAATCTATGACAAATTATTTATTTTTGTTTTCTGCTCGTTTTGTTTTGTGTATATTTGCATTTTAATTTTTAAGTGCTGTTATCACAGTCCGTTTTCAATCATAGAAACCGACTAATTTAAGGCATTGTGTGATATGTTTTTGTTAATTAATACTCTAGAATTTGTAAGAGAAGCTTTATTCTCGGTTTAGCGGTTAAATGTAATTGTTCAGTATGTAGTGCCAAAAACAAAGTTGGACACAGATAAATTTTGAAGAAGTATTATGGGAAAACATTTCATGTCTGAAGCACTGTCATAAACGCTTAGTAAGTAACCAAATTAGTAGTTTTGTTTTCGGGTTTCTCTCTACTTGTTTAGTCGGTTAAGCGAATTATCGGTTGTCAGTTTAGTCGTAAGTTAGGTTAAGCCGCTGGCAGCCAGGAACATCAACCATCGCCGTATCTCGATCGATCGTACGGTGACGCACGCAAGTCGCATCACAAGACTCGAGATTGTGATAAGCACATCGCTTCCTATGTCGTAGTCGATAAGATTCCGTTGTAGCTAGCCCCCCGACATCACGCGAAAAACAGAAACCGCTCGGAAACGACTGTCACCTTGCAATCGCGTTTTCCAAATTAGCTTTAAAGTTAGCATAAGATGTTGACAGATAGTATTTTTTATTACTGACGGATACGTTTCCCGGCAGAGTTTTTGTTGTTCGCCTCCCCCCCTGCCCCACCGGTCGTGTCGATGGCCTAAACTTACGGTGACAATATCTCATTAGGGTGGGAGAGGTGAGTCAGTATTGTATTGTGTGGGGTGGGACATTCTATGTTAAGTGCTTTTAACAACTGTGTACTGTAAACGTAACTACCAATCCCTTTATGTATAGGACCAGCAAGTATGCATTCAATAAAGGTTGTCCTCAGTGTCTGTATTTAATTTGTCTTTTTATTTGTGTTCCCAGATCATTTGAGCTGTTCTGATCCTCGTTCCTAATCTCCTGTCCAGACCTATTTCCTCTCCACGGGTAGTACAACTGCTTTCTGTTTCTATATTCCAAAATTACAAATTAGTTAAATGGTTTGTGTGTATAAAACACCTGTAGTTAGGTGTCTAATGGTTGTCAATTAATTGAAATATTTGTTTTAGCTTATTGGATGTCTATATACTATTTTATTTTTTATAACCTCAAGTGTTTGAATGTGAAAGCGTTTTTGATAGCCTCATATTAACTGTATTTTTACTATAAAGACTTGTAGAATTCATATTTATTAACACTGATTATTACAATTTTATTGATATTTGTACCCACAATTTTAGATATTAAGACTGCTATTAAGTTTTCCCTTTTTAAGTTTTGGAAGGATAATTGAGATATTATTTTTCTTCTATGTATGTAATTATTTTGTATTTATTTGAAATATATGGTTTGTGTTCACTGAGATAAGAATTTTTTAATTTTTTAATATTTTTGTGTGTTATTATTTGAATTAAGTACAGTAATATTAGTGATGGCGAAAATAAACAGATCAGTGAAAGAAATTATCACAAGGATATGTTTTTGTGTTGCTTACTTAAGCTCAGTTAATGTATTGAGCACTTAAAAAATAAGCTGTTTGCCCAATGGCCCAATGTGGTCTTAGACAAGTTAAAATAAAACAATGAAAAGCAGTAATCTAAGCAATTCCACTTCCTTCCCATGTAATTTTTGGCAATTCACTTTTTAACCCGGTCATTAAAAATAGCACTGACTTTAGATTTAGACAGATTGCCAATGTATTAGAATTTTATTTTTTAGCTAAACTAATTAGACAACTGTTGAGTATGCAATATGTTCTCCTTTCCTTTATTTCTTTGTTTCTAATCAATCTAAATTTGCTAAGCTTATTATAATTAGAATTGTTCTGCATTTACAAGTAACCCAGAGGGTTAAAAGATTTAGTAAGAATTGAATTTAAGAAAACTAACAGATTCTTAAAATGGTCTTTTCGTAATATAAAAGATTAAGACTCATTATTCATGCATTATTAATACAGTGTATCTTATTATTCTACACATTTACTCTATTAGGAGAGCTGCAGGATACAAAGCCACTTTTCCTAGGTGTAACATACTGCAACTAGGGTAGTTTTAGAAGAAAAAGACGTTTTTAAATGGCATTTGCATTTTAAATCAATAAATTCATGTTCCCTGTGAAATAAGTCAATGGTGTTGTTTTTTTGTTTTTTTTTTATTGGAATTCTAAAACTTGAATGTCAAAATACCCTCTGCAGACTAAGCACCTTTAGACTAAACAAAATTCTATTTGTCTGATTTTATTTTCATCTAAATCTACTAGGTGGCGTTCGCAGAGGCATCCACATAATTGAGCGGAGTCATCAAGGTTTCATATTATATTGTTTTTGTAATACTGCAGTAAAAACAGTAGTTTTTAATGCATGCGTTGCGGGTCTAAAGTAGCATTTTTTTATATTTAGGGAGTAAAAATCGTGTTTAGCCTCTATGGAGTAAAAATCAGGTGTTGTCAACTCAGTTGTAAATTTCGATTGTAAACGATTGCATGTATCGAAAATATGTATCGATTCGTGCTTCGTAATCATTTTAACATACAGTCTACAGTCTCTTCCCGTAGCATTTTAGCATTGCAGATGCATTAATCCATTCCCAAACTCAACACAGCTCCGCTTTACTACTTCCTTCACCACACCCTACGTCGTGGACCTGTTTCCATCTCTTCCCATAGCATTTTAGGATTGCAGATACATTAATGTAATTGCCAAAGACAGTTCCCACACTCTGCACTGCTAGCCTTACTACTTCCTTCACCATTTACTACGTCATAGACCTGTTTCCTTCCTTTCTCATAGCATTTAAGTATTACAGATTCATTTATCTAACTGCCCAAACGGTTCCCGCACTCTGCACTGCCAGCCTTTACTACTTCCTTCACCACTTCCTACTCCGTGGGGCCTGTTTCCTTCCCTTCTCATAGCATTTTAGTATTGAAGATACATTAATCTAACTGCCACAGACGGATCTAACACTATGCTGATGCTCATACTTTACTACTTCCTAAGCCACTTCCTACCTCGTGCACAGGTCCACGTTCATCACTTTCCATTGCATTTTAGTATTTTAGATACGTTAATCTAATTGCCACAAACATTTCCACACTCCGTACTGCTAGCCTTTACTACTTAATTCTTTAACCATTTCCTATGTCGTGGGAATGCTTCCATCCCTTCTCAAAGCATTTCAGCATTGCAGATACATTTAAACTGCTACAAACGGTTTCCAGTTTCTCCACACACACTGCTCACCTTACTACTTCTTTCAGCTCTTCCTACGTCGCGGATCTGTTTCCCTCTCCTCCCATAGAATTTTAAGATTGTAGATTCCTAAATCTAATCGTCATAAACAGATCCCACACTCCGAACAACTCGCCTTTACTACTTCCTTTACCACTTCCTACATCGCGGACCTGTTTCCCTCTCTTTCCGTAGCATTTTTTATTGCAGTTACCTTAATCTAATCGTCCTAAACAGTACCCACACTCCGGACAGCTCGCCTTGATTACTTCCTTCACCACTTCCTACGTTGCGGACCTGTTTTCCTCCCTTCCCATAGCATCACAGGATTGCAAATACCTTAATCTAATGGTCACAAACAGATCCCACCCCCCGAACAGCTCGCCTTTACTACTTCCTTCACCACTTCCTACGTCGCGGACCTGTTTTCCTCCCTTCCTATAAAATTTAAGGAATGCAGATACCTCAATCTAATCGTCATAAACGGTTCCCACACTCCGGACAGCTCGCCTTGACTACTTCCTTCACCACTTCCTACGTCGCGGACCTGTTTTCCTCCCTTCCCATAGAATTTTAGGAATGCAGATACCTTAATCTAATCGTCATAAACAGTTTCCACACTCCAGACTGCTCGCCTTTACTACTTCCTTCACCACTTCCTACGTCGCGGACCTGTTTTCCTCCCTTCCCATAGAATGTTAGGAATGCAGATACCTTAATCTAATCGTCATAAACAGTTTACACACTCCAGACTGCTCGCCTTTACAACTTCCTTCACCACTTCCTACGTCGCAGACCTGTTTTCCTCCCTTCCTATAAAATTTAAGGAATGCATATACCTTTATCTATTCGTCATAAACAGTTCCCAAACTCCGGACAGCTCGCCTTAACTACTTCCTTTACCACTTCCTACGACTCGGACCTGTTTTCCTCCCTTCCTATAGAATTTTAGGAATGCAGATACCTCAATCTAATCGTCATAAACAGTTCCCACACTCCAGACTGCTCGCCTTGACTACTTCCTTCACCACTTCCTACGTCGCGGACCTGTTTTCCTCCCTTCCCATAGAATTTTAGGAATGCAAATACCTTAATCTAATCGTCATAAACAGTTTCCACACTCCAGACTGCTCGGGTTTACTGCTTCCTTCACCACTTCCTACGTCGCTGGCCTGTTTTCCTCCCTTCTCATAGAATTTTAGGAATGCATATACTGTACTTTAATCTAATCGTCATTAACAGTTTCCACACTCCAGACTGCTCGCCTTTACTGCTTTCATCACCACTTCCTACGTCGCGGACCTGTTTTCCTCCCCTCCAATAGAATTTTTGGAATGCAGATACCTTAATCTAATTGTCATAAACAGTTTCCACACTCCAGACTGCTCGGGTTTACTGCTTCCTTCACCACTTCCTACGTCGCTGGCCTGTTTTCCTCCCTTCCTATAGAATTTTAGGAATGCAGATACCTTAATCTAATCGTCATAAACAGTTTCCACACTCCAGACTGCTCGCCTTTACTGCTTTCTTCACCACTTCCTACGTCACGGACCTGTTTTCCTCCCCTCTAATAGAATTTTAGGAATGCAGATACCTTAATCTAATTATCATAAACAGTTTCCACACTCCAGACTGCTCACCTTTACTACTTCCTTCACCACTTCATACGTCACGGACCTCAAGCTAGTGTCGTCATTTGATTATATTTATGATCCATGCCGTTTCTGTTCTAATATCTGTGGAATAATATTATCCGCTATTTCTTTATCTACTGCATTCAAAAGTCAACAGCTAATCATATGTCTTTGTTTATGTGTCAAATACTGCTTCCATAAGGATTACATAGAAACTTTGAGACCCAGGTGAACTTTGGGGCGGATTCCTGAGAGACTTTTTTAACGCCATATAGATGTTGGCACTAACCAATATAGTCCAGTGTAAATAGCATTTGAGTAAGGAAATTCAAAAAAAAGGTTGAAACCTGTTGGAAATCATTTTTTGGGGTCTCCTGAACCCACAGAAGAAAGTCCCAGAAAATCCCATGGGGACTTTTCCGCCATTTTGAAAAATAAGTCGGCCATGTTAGATTTATGCAAGCGTTTACGGAAATAGGTGTTACTAGTAAACTAATTGACTTAAAAACCTCATGTTTGCATAAAAATGTCTTGTAAAGTCCAGGCTACATATTAAAATACCCCCGCCGCAGCAAACCTGCAGACTAAGCGAATTTCCATTTGCCTGAATTTATTTTAAATTAAATCTATTTAAATAACATTAGGTTTAACGAGTACCTAAGTTTGCTGTTACAGGTAGCCTAATAAAATGTGTTTTTGGTAAAATATTAGTAGATTAATATAAAATAGATAAATTTTCCATGTTTAATTAATATATTACCATAAACAACTACAACATTTTACAAAATTCTCCAAGAATAACATAGGAAATTTTAAATTTGCTGTTTTTTTTTTAATTTTCTCCATAACCATTAACCGTACAAAAACATTTTGGGATACTGAATTGTTTGTTTTTTGTACGCTATTTAAATGTCCTAGAGAGAAATTAGGAAATTTTGTGTTTTGACGGTCAAAAATATTAAAAACAAATTTCTGTCCCATAAAACCCCCTTGTTAA